GTTATGTAAGTTCTTCGACTGCCATTGTCAAACAGAATTCTTACTTTTACACTTGCAGATCCATCTTCATTGTATGCTTGTGCTTTAGCAGTTTGTAGCAAAACCTTTCCTTTGTTTCCGGACATTGATGCTGTTGTAATCGTTGATTCATTTTTTGATTCATCATCGTCCCTTTTTCGCTGAGCATCCTCACCCCCCGGTTTGTCTTTGCTACTTTCACAGATGGAAAAACAAATTGACTGATGATGCCTTTTGTTACAGTGGCGACAGTGCTTGCTAACTGGACAATCTTTCAATTGGTGTCCCTTTCGAATGCAATTGAAACATCTACCGCTTTGACGTAGAATATCTTTTCGTTCTCAAACATTATTTATAGTTTCACAAGAAGCAGAATAGTGCTCTCCCTTGCAATACACGCATTGTAACTTAAACGATTCACCACTTTCTCGTTGTCAAGGCGCTCGCTGAGCCGTAGTTAGGTCTGTTCAACGGAGAGGGCAGTGGTTTGTTGTTGTCACTAGTTTTAATCCTTTCGCTTGCTTCGCGGACTTCGATTTCTACCTTAATAACTTCTAACAACTCGTCGATTTTCCAGGTTTCGCTATTCGCCTTACGAGCAATCTGAATTTGAATATTGTTGGGAAGTTTCGACATAATGATTGGTATCAATAAACTCCCATATTGATCAGATGACACGCCCAGTGACTGTAAACCACGGACGTGAACGCTAACTTTATCATAAAATAATCTCAAAGCGTTAGCTCGATCGTTGCAAACTTGTAATTTTAAAAGTTCATCCATGTGTGCAGATATTATAGCTTGCGGTTTGGAAAATCGATCTTTTAAAATCTTGATAGCGGAATTATAATTCGACTCAGTCAAAGGCAGGCCGTGAATTGCTCGCGCTGCGTTTCCTTCCAATAAGGAATTCAAATAATTGAATTTGTCGATTGTAGATATGTCGTCATTTTCGTGAATTGATGCGTTAAAAGAGTCCCAAAAAGTGTTCCATTTCATAAGTTCTCCTTTGAATCATGGCATTGTCAATTTCGGTAATCGAATTTTCGCATATCCTTGCCCTACTTGCGGTTGAGAAGTACTCGTTATCGTTTGGGCGTTCGCTTCGACTTCTGTGTTTACATTAATTGCAGGCGATCGCTGTTTTTGTTTCGTTTCTTTAATCCTTCGTTGACAATCGATAATCCGGGCCACAATTTCCTCTGATTCCTGAATTTCATTGCTTATATTTGTCAATTCACATACATTTAAGATTTCTTGGTCGATTTCATTCGGGGTTTTCAATTTGTTTTCAGATAGAGTACTTATAACTTCGATTCGTCCCTTTTGATTCTCGCTTAAACTGTCAACACCAATGAGTTTGTTCGCTTCTTGTAATAAATTGTTTACAACGTTTCTGTGACTATTTTGTATCGCTTTTAATCGCTTTTGTTTCTTTGTCTCGGCCATAATATCACTTTATAATCTTATACTCATATATTTCAGGAAATCAAGAGGGCCCCACATTGGGCCATGTAATAAGCATTCGAATTGGACACCATTTTGTAGTCTATAAATATATATTACGAAAAACAACTTATATTACATGTCAAGTTTAAGGTGTGGGGTTAGTAGTGCTAGCTATAAAATGTCAACAAAAATGTTAATACTTCCGGTTAGTATATTAATATATTAAACATTTATTACAAGCTTTGTCTTTTTGGGGTTGATATGTAGTCGATTTGTACAACACCAGCCAGCCACAAGCTTTAAATTGTCAGAGAGCTGTTCTATAGAATTATTTATATCCCTTGAGGGGAACGAGAGATGTAGCTTTGTGTCGTCCACATATGACTCTGCGTTGCTGTGCTTTACGTCATTCAGGTATAGACTGAATAGCATTGGTCCTAAAATAGGCCCTTGTGGAACGCCATGCGTGACAGCAAGAGGATCTGAATTCGAGGTTCCAACTCTAGTGCATTGCTGACGATCGGTTAGATAGCTCTTAAACCACATACACGTTTGCTTTGATGTACCCAATGAAACAGGATGTCGCGACTTAGGGCCTATTCATATGGGCAAAAGTTATCCCGGTTAGCGAGAAAACGTTTCGACAAGTTTACAAGCGAGATCTCGCCTTGGTATGAAAATAATATGAAAAGTTACACTGCGTTCATATGAGACAAAAAGTTTTCCCGTGTACCGAGATCTCGTTTGTTGAAAGGCGAGATCTCGGTGACCGGGATAATGTTTTTCCCATATGACACAACTTTCCCGCTTAGCGGGATAACTTTCTGTCATGTCAGCAACTTTTCAATTCAATTGATGTTCAGTGCCACGTCACAGCCGTCACAGCCGAAAACTTTACCTGGTAAGCGGGATAAAGTTTCTCCATATGAACAGAACAAAAGTATTTGGCTAGTCGAAAAGTTTTCTCGTTAACCGGGATAACTTTTGCCCATATGAACAGGCCCTTATGCTGTCAAAGGCTTTGCTAAGATCTATCATGACCATTGCCATCAAATTCTTCTCATCCATAGCCTTAAAGATGTTGTCTACCACTGACAGACCTAATGTCTTGAGGCAATCTGTTATTTTGTGTCAGGTAGTTGTTAAATTGACCAAGAGCAATCTTCTCTGCAACCTTAGAGAGAACAGGGAGAAGTGAGATAGGGCGGTTATTATCTACTACCTCTTGGTCTCCATCTTTGGGCTGAGGGATAACCTCTGCCTTTTTCAGGCACACAGGAATACAGAATTAGTAAATGAGGAATTAATCAGGTCTGTCAAAATTGGTAAAATATGTGGAAAACAATCTTTCACAACCGAGAGTGGTACCTTGTCATAACCGGGAGCTTTACTAAGCGGCATTGCCATAGTGATCTCACATACTTCAGAACAGGAAACTTCTTGAAATGTGAATAAATCTGAATCAGGCAGTGGAGGGATAGTGCTTTGCAGAGGGATATCAGGCAACTTATGCGCAGCTGAGCAAGTTCAACGGAGGCTTGGGCCTTCCCGCCTACAGATGTAAAAAATTGATTGAATTTGTTGGCGGAACTTTGGTATCTGTTGTATATTGAGTGGAACAACCTGGCAGGAATCGTAGGATTAGTATTTGATTTGACAACCTCAAATGATTCGCCTGCTATATCCACAGATAACACCCATGTGTTGGGAACCCATACGGTTTGAGTTTATCATAACCTGTAAGCCATTTTTTGACGATAGGAATACTGTACATGTGTTTAAACACTTTTAACAAAAATCTATAAATCAATTTTTACACAAACAGTTATGCCTTGCAATTTGTTTAGGTACGGAATTGCAGCTGAAATCTTTCTTAAAATGGTTAACAGGATCCTACGAAATACCATCACTTGGCTTTCCCAAACTGATTTCTGTTGCATTTGTCCATGGTTGCCAATAGGGATGTGCCTGCAGACCAACAGCATCAACGTGTGACATAACCATCAAACTGCCGGTGCACATCGGGGATGAAATAGCAATGAAAGAAATGATCGTCTCGGCTCTTCAAGACTAGTATGCTTTTGATTTATTTATTTAGATCATTAAATGAATTATCCATCTACTGTACCAATATCCATCTACTTTTTGTCGTCCAAATCACCACACGCTTATTTCTATGATTATTGATTACCATGAATATCAAATTGTAATAATTGTAATTGTATTATTATAATATACCGTATATATTTGCAAATTTCACTACTCTAGTAATTTGACTTTGAACTGGTTTACTTAATTAATTAAAAAGCAATTGTAAATATATTTCTAGGGATCTAAGCAAAAGAGCCAAATGGTTTCAAATAGACTCCTAGCCCTCTTCTTCCTTAATATTAGAAATGTCATCTAAATAAATAAATATTATTGGGCAAAATCAAATAAATAGAAAAATAAATAAATAGAAAAATATAATTGTACACTGCATTTCTAAAAGTCAAAATTTTCATTATAATAATGCTCTCCATCATGGTTGGACTTTTACTTTAAATTTTCTCAAATTTGAATAATGTTATGGTTGTTGTTTCTATATTTTAACCCATTAAGCTGCAAGACTCTTCCCTTGACGAGTAGAATTGCCTGGTGTTATACTGACTAAAAGGATAAAGTTGAGCGGCAATACACCCAAATGTTCCTATCCTTTTACTCTGTATAACACCAGATAATTTTACTGGTTAAGGGGAGTTTTACAGCTAAATGCATACATGTGTTAATATATTTTATTTTTAAAAGAGATTTGAAATGAATATGTAAGCTAAATATTTCAGCATGATTGTTTTCTTGTTTCAGTTGGGCAAGACAAAATCTATGAGTAAAATAAAACTGGTCATCGTACATTGTTAAGCATTTCTGGTATTGTAGCAGTGTGTGCAGGAAGGATGAAACCACTTCTGACTTAGAAGCTTTACTAGAAAATACATGCATGCAGAAACCCTCGCCTTACTGACAAAACATTATGTTTTCTGAATATTATGAAGAATTGAAAGTAGTTGTCATGGTAACACGATAATTTTAAGAATAGTTTTAAACCTGGTTTTAAAATTGAAAAATCCCCCCAAAATATCACTTTTAATAACAAAATTATCAATTTCCCAAACATATGTATGCCAGGTATGTTATTATACGCAATATAAGCATCAATTTAATGTAAAATTCAACCACAAACGCTTCGCAAAACGTTTTAAAATGTTCTCAAAACTAAACGGCCTTTTATCGAATTATCGGTAAACATTGCCATTGAGTTTGAAATAAGCTGATTTCAAATTCTCGCATGAAAATAACTTTGCTTTCCTCTTTATTTAAATACTTTAATATACAAAAGAAAAAGTAGTTAATAAAACTACACTGAAATTATATGCTGTCTTTTTTCACTTATATACGCAATGATAGGTTTAGTTCGATATTCGCCGTATCGCCCACCACTATCAGTTATAAATATAACAATTATAAGACAAAAAATACATCAATATTTAAAACGACTATACCTTCGCTAACGTCGGCGACTTTGCTCTATTCTTTTAGACGTTTTTAGACGTTTTTGGCTCTCAGAAAGGTTTTGAAATTTACAAAATCTTGCTAAAATACAACTTGCAAGAAATGAACTTTATCATATACTCAAAGGCCGTCGGGTTTTAAAACAATTATAAAATAAATATTTAAAACAAACTTACCTTTGTTAACGTCGGCTCCCTTCTTTTAGCCCATTCTTTAGTCTTTTCTTTCTTGAAATTTACAAAATCTTGCAAAAATGCGAGCAAAAATAAGATATATTTGCAAGAAATTTATCAATCATCAAATCAAGAAATGTTTGCTGTTTCGCTGTCGTCATGCAGTCGTTATAATGCAAACTGTAAATTGGACCAATCAGTGTCCGCTATTCATGACAGTCCGCCATATTTTTGAGATCAGTGAGGATGACCACCCACCGAAACTTCATTGGTGAGCCACGCCCGCGATATTTGATGAACTTTAGACTTGGCTAATGCTTTCGTTTCCCCGGGTGTAAATAGCCGGGGGGAATTAGTACCCTCGCACGGCGCTTCGCGCCTCGGGGAAAAGTTATGAAGGTATTATTTTGTTTCTCAAATTTTATTGATACTATAGCATAAATAGTCAAATAATTTCCTGGAATAGACCATTTATACATAAACAACCCAAGGTGAGGATGTTTTTGCATCTATCAAGAGCAGTGTTTTCATATCATGGCCATCCCCGTGTTGGTTGCAAATGATGTTAATACATGCTTTAATTACGTCTTGCCAGCAATGCTGAGTTGTAGAATTTCTTAATAAGCGGTGTGATTATAGTTCTTGGTGTGTTACTTAGGATAAGTGGATTGCATTATTATACCATGTGTGCAATGTGTACAGATGGCTAGAAAGAGAATGTGATCATGAGGAGGACGATCATGATGAAACTCTTCCGTGGTTTGACTGTCGTGACAGAGACTTAATTGAACTAAAGAAAGTCGTTCTTAACCCAGAATTGCTTGCAAGCTTCCAGTATTATACACCATTCAGGTAAATAGTTGTTGTACAAGTAAGATTTTAGATATGTTCACTAGAAATACATGCATGCAGCAACCCCTTGCATGTATTTTCCAAACATTGATTTAACATGAAGTATTAGTAATTGATCAACACTGAACGCAGGCTCATGTTTACGTCAGTGTTGCCATGGCAACACGATAAATTTAATTTATTTTTTTGTACAACATGCCAAAAATAGTTGAAAGATTATTCCTTCTAACTATATAACAATGAATTTTCGAAATATGTACTGTAGGTATGTTGTTCAGCATTTTGTGAGCTTTGGGCCATGGAAATAATAATAATATTCTTTATTAATCAATACTCGAAACACACGTCCGAGTTTACATGGAATTATAAGAATATAGTCTATTTTACATTATACAAATAATGAATGTTTATGAGTGCAATGGTAAGAATATTTTCATGAGGTGAAAGATGGAATGTTCCATTCAACAAGGCGACAGCCGAGTTGAATGGAACATTCCATCTTTCGCCGAATGAAAATATTCTTACCATTGCACGAATAATAACACTCATTATTTGTTTTATATAATACCAAAATAGACTAATATTAAAAGGTTTACTGTAAGCTTTCGTCATTTTGACGAGTCGTATTTGCATTAAATCCCATTTACTGAGTTTCGAATATCGGGTTAAAATAAACTGCGATCACCGTACGAGAAGCATTTTGACAGATGCGATTTATCGAAAACACAAAGAGTGCAATGGAACAAAACGTATAGTACAATTGCACTCGCAAGAGTGCAATGGAACGCATTCCATTGCACTCTTGGGAAATGGAATTTTCTATTCAATATCACGTGACCATAAACAGCCAATTAAACGATCAGAATTCAATAAGGTATTATATAATAATTATTTACATCAATAATTTAATAAAACTAGTAAAATTCTACAATATTGTTAAAAATTATTAAAATGTATCGTACACTAGATAAAATTGAAGAGACATCTATTTACAAAAGATTTTTTAAATCTTTCAGTTCTTACTAAGGGCAGCTCAAAGTCATGTCCCCTTTGCCTTAAAGTTCGATTTAATTTATTTGGTAAAAATTCTCTTAGTGCATTATTTTCATCATCTAATATTTTTTTCCATAATCTCTTGTCTCTCTTATTAATTATTTCTCTAAAATTAGATTTCTCTGTTACATACCCATTACGGTATGCACAATTTATAAACTTGTCAATCTGACTAATCCCCGAGCCGACGGCGCGAAGCGCCATGCGAGGGTACTAATTCCCCCCGGCTATTTACACCCGGGGAAACGAAAGCATTAGCGGAGTCTAAAGTTCATCAAATATCGCGGGCGTGGGTCACCAACGGTGTTGGGTGGGTGGTCATCCTCACTGACCTCAAAAATATGGCGGACTGTCATGAATAGCGGACACTGATTGCTCCAATTTAAAGTTTGCATAAACGACTGCATCACGACAGCGAAATAGCAAACATTTCTTGATTTGATGATTCATGATTGATAAATTTCTTGCGATATTTCATTTTTACTCTCATTTTTGCAATATTTTGTAAATTCCAAAAGCTCTCTCAGAACGAAACTGCAAAAGAATCTGCTAAAAGAAGGGAGCCGACGTTAACGAAGGTAAGTTTGTTTTAAATATTGATTTTATAATGGCTTTAAAACCCGACGGCCTTTGCGTATATGAAACAACTAAACAAGACAAAATATAATTTCAGTGTATCTTTAATATTGATTCCCTTTTTTATGATATTGAATTTTTTAAATAAAAAAGAAAGCAAAGTTATTTGCAAGCGAGAATTTGAAATCATTTTATTGCAAACTCAAAGTTTATTGATAAAGCCATTTTAATAATTAAAGGCAGTTTAGTTAATAAAGAGCACTTTAAAACGTTTGCGAAGCGTTTGTGGTTGAATTTTACCTTAATTAAATTGAGGCTTATATTACGTATAATAACATACCTAACATATATATGTTGGGAAATTAATAATTTTGTAATTAAAAGTGATATTTTTAGGTGATTTTTCATTTGTAAGAATATTCTTAAAAAATTATCGTGTTACCATGACAACTATTTTAGAACTTCATGTTCGGAAAAAACAATGGTTTTGTCAGCAAGGCGAGGGTTTCTGCATGCATGTATTTTCTAGTGTATTTAGTGTAAGATGCTCCTCCCCAAAGTTCAGTTCCGAAAGTGAATAATGACATTATTAAACTCTGAAAGAGAATTTCTAACTGCTTTGTTGTAAAACCATAATATTTACACACCCGTAAGATGTACATTCATCCACTCGCTTTTTTAAGCATCTCTTCGAAGTGTATGTCCCAATTTTCCGGTATTTCCTCAAGGGTAATTCCAAGTATCTTGAGCTATGTTTTCCGTTTGATGGACGGAATGCAACTGGGTAGAGGTATAGATGTTCTCCCACAAACAATCATTTCGTATGTTTTGTTCATATTCAGCACGATTGTATTTTCTACCTCTTCAGCACCTGTATCATCCTCATCATAGCCCGAGGCTTCTATTGTTATATCATCATCGAATTTACAGAGTTCATTGATTGGATTGACTGGTTTAATGTCATTTACCATTATTGAAAATAGTATTGGGCCTAGAACAGTCCCCTGAGGCACGCCACGATTAATTTTCAAGAACTCAGTTGTGATGCCATCAACTGTTACTCTCTGTTTGCGATCTTTTAAGAAATCTATCATCCAATTTATGATGTACGGGTTAAAAGGCAATTTCTTAACTTTTCCAAATAGTATGTCGTGTGGATCACTGTCAAACGCCTTGCATATTTCACACCATTATCCAACCCTTTCAACCACGTATGTTGACATTTAACTAAAGCCATCATTGAGTTATGTCCCACTTTATATGCGTATTGGTCAGAATCGATTGAGTGATATATAACATCTGCGATCTCATTTTTGTATATACATCTCTCAAATAACCTCATTATGATGTCTGTTAGTGAGATAGGTCTCAGTTCAGAACTTGAGTTGATAACATTTTCTTTTGGTATTGGAACTATATTTGCTCTCTTCCATATTTCAGGGACTTTTCCAACTTTCAGAGATATGTTAAATATTTTTGTTATGGCTGGAGCTAATTCAGCTGCGAATGTCTTCCAGAACCAATGTGGTAGATCGTCCGGGCCAGATGATGAATGCTTCTGTTTTCTTAGAAAGTTATAGACAATATCAACAGAAAGAAACGGAATTATAGTTCCCTCTGGAATTTGATTTGCGTTCGCTAAATTTTCAAACCACATGCGGCATTTTTTCATTATTCATTATTTGTCTTTAAGCAAGTGCTTCCACTTAAAGATCCAAATTTCCTCTTTTCCTAATGATATTTCCTTAAATTTCCATGAAATTGTCCTGGAAGCACTGAATATATTATGTTGAAAATGTGTGGAATCTTGTAGTACTTGTACTTGTTATTAGTTTGGAAAAATATCTGTATAAAAGGAATATGATTGTACTAGTAGTACAATCATATTCCTAATACAGATATCTTTGTCATGAAGTATAAGACCCGATGTAAAATTGGCAGCAAGTGTTCTATATTTCTACATAGTTACATATAAATAGAGATAATTAACGTAACACGAAGTATAGTACTATAAAGTGAAAGTGAAACTGGCATACTAATATATGCTGTATGCCATGAACATGGCAGCATAATATTCTAGAACAAATAAACAGTATGAAATGTAGGTTAAAGTGCTCCCCTCTTGGGAATTGGTTCTCCTGGCATACAGAAGTGATCATCTTCGATGCCATGGACATATTCCCCACAATGAATGCAGCATGCCTCATATCCACATGAGTAGTACAATTTTTCAATATGGTCATTGCAATCGTGGTCTTTGACACATACTTGGAATCCGGTTGGCATGATAACATCATCTGGAAGGATACACAAACACTGAAAACATGAATATATTTGGTAATACAGGTATTTTAATATGCAGTAATCAACTGCAGAAAATTATCCACATACCAAACTGAAATCCACAAGTATACTCTACATCCTCCAGGACTTCAGCCAACTGTTTTCTTTGATGCTGTGTGAGTTTCTTCTTTGAAAATACAAGCCTCCATTTGTCACATTCAGCACATTTGAACCATAGTGTCTGTGTTCTTGCAATGTTGGACAGAGGGTGTGAAGGGAATCTTCTTCCTCTTTAACTTCGGTCTGTTGGTCATGCTTGGTCTTTCCTGAAAGAAAATGATGTGGCCATGGATTTAAATTTTGATACTTGGACATTCCCTTGCAAAAAAATTCTATAGGCCTGGCCGGGCTATAGGCCTGGCCTATAGGCCAACCTATAGGTTCCTATTGGAAACCTATAGGTTTTTATAGGCAATTGGAACATTTTCTATAGGTGACCTACAGGGATGCCTATAATCCTATAGAGCTCTATAGATGCCTAAAGGCTTCTATCGGGAATTGGAATATTTCCTATAGGCCACCTATAGACTTTTTTCGTAAGGGATTTAACATCTAGATTCAACACAAGATAAAATTAAAACAGATAAGAAACGCAAAATTAAAAAGAAATATGAATAATGCTTCATACATCATGTGTCTCAGTTTTATACACATTAGCGAATGGCTTGTAGTGATCATCATCATCCAACACCGGAAAAAGCAAAGTGCCAACAAGTCTGGTTCTTTCATCATGAAGGGATCTAAAACCAAAGCAATATGATACATTGTTTTTAGTTCTTCAGGACTACAACAAGATTATGTTACAGTAATTATAATTTATACAGTAGAATTAGGTGCATGCAAACTGCAACGAATATGAATTTTGGAAGATTTTATTTACCTGCAAATAGTACAGTTGGCAAGTCCACATTTCTTCACTTGGAAGCAGTAATGCCCCTCTATGCAGCAATGACTCAGAAATTTAGATAGTTTGTCAAACTTCTTCACATCTTTGGCAGTCAGGTGATATCTCTGTAAGGCAAAAAAAGTACATTAACTGTAGATGCATTATATGATTGTTATGTTTAGGAAATCGAATAATGTATTGTACAATAAATGCAATTCAATACAGTACATGTAATTCTCCTTCTATCCTTAAACAATTCTTCCAAAGCTCGTCAATGTTGGCATCTTCAGCTGCTGAAAATGTATTGAATTGTCTGTCTTTCAAGCTGAGTCTTTTCATCTGGCAATTTAACATGTCTGTAGGAGTTTCTACTGAATCATGCCACTCCTGTTTGAGATTATCAGTTGCCAACTTCGCCCTGACTTCCTTCATGTTATTAGCTTTAGCTATATAGAAAAAGTAAATATTGTAATACTTACAAAGCAAAAACAATATATAATTATATATGTGGAAATAGTATTATGTTGTCCTGCCTGACATGCCAAATATATAGAGGTACAAAATACAGCAAATGGACTTTCTCAAAGTCATCACTTCCTTTCTTTCTCATAATGCCAATGCCTTGAAGCCCAATGTTGACAATGCTCATAATACATTCTACCGGATTTGCCCAGGAATTGCTTGGGGCAGTTTGCAGTGCAACCAGTTCATCCAAATCTAGCTCAATGAACAAAGCTATCATAGACAGCTTCACAGACATGTATGTGCTACGATGATCAGGACCATCATCTGTATATATCAGCAGTATTGGAGGTACATCTGAAAGACAAAATACTTGGTTTGGTAATGTCTAGAAGTATAATTTTCTGTAGATAAAAATCATCTAGTTATGTTCCTGCCAATCAATAAGGAAAGAATACTATCACAACTACTTTATTTAATACCTCCATGCAATTTCAAAATCTCTTTCAGCTCACACGCATGCCTTACAGGAGATGAAGGTTGTAACACACTGTCTTTGATCCCAACATATACATCACCAAGGTAAAAGTTACCAAGAATGCTGTCTGGAATGTCGATCTGGAAGATAACAAATATAGCAAAACTCTAGTGTTCGAGACAAGTTGCAGTACATATAATGTAAATACCACATAGAAATCATATTGCTACTCTAGTTTGGTGACATGGTACACATCTTAAATCCAAGCAGTTTGCTTCAAGACAAAGCTTAGTTCCTGATTTTAGATTTGACACAAATATTAGCTTAGCAGTAAGTTCATAGAAGGTGTTAAAGTAGCTTTAGAGAAATCATGATCCCCAACAGACATGACTTGGTTGGGTCCGACAATCACTTGCTTCCCACGCTCTGCTGCTGCCAGTGGGTATGACAGTTCCCCCACCTTAACTTTATGCTTGTCATCCATTGACACAAGAGTAACAAGCTCTCTTTGCTGTATAGCAAACTCTCGCATATATCACCATGCAACAGCACAGTAGTGGGCATCAACATGGTTTGCACGAATCTATATAAACAAATAATGTTAAAACGCATGAAATTATAAGTTTGTGTAACACCCTATTCACACACACCGCAACTCAGTATTCCCGTAAAGTTAAGTAACAACACACTTTTTGGCATTATTTAATAGTTATTAAATATGATTAAATAGATATGAAGCTCACCTGTCTTTTCTGGACCATAATTTTTATGTTCATCTTGCCCTTGTAATACTTAGCTGTATTTGCTCGTGGGTTTAGTGGCTGGAACTGGTACCTCAACCACTTTACAGAAGGTATATTTGTCCCCTTGGGAACTCTTTCCTTCACACACTGATGCAAATCCTTTAAACTGACAGCTTTTGCTAGGTACAACTGCTGACCAAGTCTTTGCTCATATGACAAGCAACACCAACATCCTCAGATAGATAGCGTTCTGTCTCTGCAAAGAAATCATGGTATGAATCCTTCGTAGTTGGAGGCAAGTGATGCAAGTCAACAACAATCCCTGCATCTTCACACAGCATAGCATGAGAGAATCGGTTATCAATTTCCTTTTCTGATAAAGTGTTTGGTGCAGACTTGTCTCCTGTTAAATCTTTGAAGATAGCCCTAAGTGCAACAGATTCACCAACAAACCCAAAGGATTCCATAAATCTCTTCTTAGTAATGCACCTTTTCGTACACAGGGACTTCTGATTCAATTTTACGTATCACTTGAGAACATCTGTTGATCATTTCTCCCTCTTCTTGGTCTTCTGCTGTCCAAATAAAGTGCAAACTTGACTTATTTCCACCTACATGGTGAATATAGTGTACACACTTTTGTGACAAGCCATTATCACAAAGCTCTTCAACTAAGTAATTAGCGGTTACATGTAGGTAGAAACTCCTGTACACACACAAACTGGAACAAATTGTTCTGCTTTTGAAAGTTTTTTATCAAGGTCCAATAAACCATGATGGACAGTACCAAGACTTCAACAAGGCTGAGTATTTGTGTTTTCACTTCAGCCCAAGGCATTTCATTCAAGTATTGTTGCCCTTGAATTACTTCACGCATCTGAATTGTGTACTTCTCTAACTTCTGCTCAGAGAGATTGCTGAGATTTCTTTTCCTGTGTTTGTGTTTTTCAGGACAGTTAAAACCAGAAAACCGTGTTTTAAAGACTGTGGGTACCTTTGTTGATATGGATATAACAGACTCAATCTTATTGTAGTGACCATCGACATAATAGAGCAAGTCGACCAACTTGGAGACAAAGGAAGTGGCTCGAACCCCCGCATTCGTTGGAAAATTGCATTCTTTCTCTTCAAAGAACCTGAGTACTTCGTTATTTAGTTTTTCCATGCTTGTTTTTGGATCTTTTAGAATAGTTGGCATCTCTAGCTGCTGTCATCAAAACAGTAAAGGCATTAACTGGATGTGACGAACCCTGATTAGGAAAACATGTGGCACATGATGGCAAGTGTTCTATAATTAGTTTGAAGAAATGTATCCCAAATTGGTCATTCACCTGAATGATATCTGTATCAGAAGTTCCACGCACACATTCACTTGTGGCTAAAGTTGAAGATGCTGTGATTTCTTTCAGATTGTACATTTTGCAAGGGAGGTCTAAATTAAAAGTTGGTGTGAGAGGACCATTGAGAATATCTCTGCAAAGCTGATCATACATATACCACTTATTGTGTAAAGTTACAAATGTCCAGGATTTTACAATCTTCCCATCCTCTTTGCATATGCAAATTGCCACTTGTTTTGGCTCATATTCGTCGGAGTTTAAATTGTATTTGTTTTATATTGGATTGTACATTTATTTTACTGTCAACATTTAGCAAATTGTTCGCTCGGTCTGTTTACATATTTCGTTGCTAAAAAGTATCATTTTTCTTCTTTGTTTCTCAAATTCATCAGTCTAATCATCAGAATGGCCCCAATCAAGCAGATTCAAGCTGCATAAGTCATAAGTGAACTTAGACATAGCTAAGACTAAGTCTATTATTTTATCATAGTTGAAGTGAACATACATGACAAGTAGCTTTTATCAATCATGTATAACACTTCCGTGTCTGGGTCAACAATCTAGCTTTAACAATATGAAATTGGTCGAAGACCCGTACTCAGGAAATAAAATAACAACATAAAACGCTCTCTGAGTTTCCAGCGATATACATACCCTTTTCTAGATATATACCTAATAATAATAAGCGAACGAACGAATGTATTCCTTCCACTCACTTGAGAGGCATTCACTTTGGACGTTCGTTCATGCGCAGTTGTTCAATCGTTCTCTTGTAATGGTTGAATAAATAAACCTTTGTGTGTGTGTATTCTTTCCTTTTAAGTGCCCATCCAGGGTCACAAGGCCTGGACATTTACTATATGTGACAATGGTAAATGAGCTCACGAGTGGAAGGAATACATTCGTTCGTTCGCTTATTATTATTAGGTATATATCTAGAAAAGGGTATGTATATCGCTGGAAACTCAGAGAGCGTTTTATGTTGTTAATCTAGCTTTAATTTTCTATCAAGGTTTTGCCAGGTTGGGCCATTCTGATGATTAGACTGATGAATTTGAGAAACAAAAAAGAAAAAATATACTTTTTAGCAACGAAATATGTAAACAAACCGAGCGTTCAATTTGCAAAGTTTATCGATAAAGCCATTTAATTAAAGAATAAAGGCAGTTTAGTTTTATAAAGAACACTTTAAAATGTTTTGCGAAGCGTTTGTGGTTGAATTTTACCTTAAATTGAAGCTTATATTACGTATAATATCATACCTAACATATATATGTTGGGAAATTGATAATTTTAAGCGATTTTTCATTTGTAAGAGGAATAATATTCTTAAAAAATTATTGTGTTACCATGGCAACTACTTTAGATACTTCATGTTCGGAAAATACAATGGTTTTGTTAGCAAGGCGAGGGTTTCTGCAGTGATCAGTCTGTTGCCTCAAAGATCAGTCTGTTGCCTCAAAGATCAGTCTGTTGCCTCAAAGATAAGTAGTATCACTCCTCTTAAGCTTGAAAAATATGCCTGGCCATGGTGGGAATTGAACCTATGAATATCACAAAGCAGTAAATAAGGCTTGTTTTGCTGAAGCCATTAAAGTTCCATCCCAGCTTCACGACTCAAATTACCAGTATAAAAAGGGAAATTCCAGGTCAAAGCAATTTGGAAAACGGGAATCTTCGAAATCTACTAAGAAAAACATCATGCAGGAACTTCGACAAATGCGTCCGACACAACTACAAGAGGATAAGAAAGAAGTAGATCTGCAGTTGAATTTCTCATTGCAGCAACGAAATAACTGTGCAAATGTGAACAATTTCAGCAAAGCAATAGAAGTATCACAACAAATTGACGAAATCAGGAAAAAAAGGAGGTATCAGGAAGAATTGGATTTGCTTAGGAGTAGAGAGGCAACAAGCAAACATGTAAAGAAGTGTGTTGAGAAGAAAAAGAAAATATAAGCATCCCAGACCTTAACACAGTACCTGAAAAACCCCCAGATTTATCGAAGACTCACACTCAATGAGTGGAGGTTCAAGCTGAGCTTTCTCTTGAGTGTCAGTGCTGTTTTTGAATAGCTGGAGGGCTAGTGTCATACCTTACTCGGTGACTACTCACCCTCCAGCTATTCAAAAACAGCATCAACACTCAAGAGAAGCTCAGATTGAACCTTCACTCATTGAGTGTGAGTGAGCTTTTAGAATACAGGCATCAGTCATTAAACACCAGAAATGATGATGTTGCTATTATTACAGAAATTGCAGATCACCAACAAGAGATCAATAGCAAGAGTGTTTTGCCAAATATCACCTCACCATCTGTTGCATACAAAAGCAGATTCCAGTGGTGATCAGTCTCGGAAAGTTTTAACGTGAATCGCTTCGTAAAATGTTTTGAAATGTTCATTTTAATATTAAACTATAAACTGCTTTTTCCAATATAAAACTGTACGGGTTTTTAGTTTATAAAACAAAATAACTTCAAATTGTTGAGTAATTTCAGTTCGGTTTTCAAATGAATTTGCTCTCCTTTACATTTTATCCCTAAATTAAACAGGGTAATTTAGCAAACTTTTTAATACAGCTTCATTGAAAAGGAAAGCAGTGCATGTTTTATGCAATAAATTAAAGCAACAAAATTCATAAACATTAAACATTCAAAGCAAACTTGCCCTATATTCCACGATTTTCCACAGTAAATCAATTCTTCTCATTTCTTCAAACAAAAATTGCTTCAAATCTCATTGTGTGAAACGTGATTTTCCAAATATATGCTTTGAAAATTGAAATCTTTGTTTATCCCACTCCTGACAAACAGCCATATTTTTTAGATCAGTGAGGATGATCACCCACGGTTGGTGACCCACGCCTGCGATCATTAATGAACTTTAGACTTCGCCAATACTTCCCTTCCCTGGGTGTAAATAGCCAAGGGGAATTGGTACCCTCGCTCGGCTCGGGGACAAATACAGTAACCTCATAAAATGGAAGGCAGAATGCTTCACACAGGCATTTTTATTGGGATTAAATTTCTGATATACCTTATTATAGGAAATTAACAATGCACTTTATTAACGCAACATAAATTAACACAACATCAAATTAACACAGATTGCTTCTAGGTCTTTTAAAACATGATTATATTAACGCGAATCCGATCTCCATGGTTGATAAATTAATTAAATTAACGCGAATCGGAAAAGATAGACACAACAACAACAAAGGTTTAATGTTAAGAGGAGCACTGATGTTTTTAGTTTACGTTAATATGCTGTATTTTGATATTAAAAGAGTTAGTGTTATATAAAACAAATCTAGGTATTTTTAACTAATGATAAATGAAAATTACATACTTAAAATTAATGATCACATAAATTAACATTAATTAAATTAACACAAATTTTTAAAATCCGTGTTAATAAAGTGCATCGTTAATTTCCTATAATAAGGTAATTGTATTCATCAGAATAAAACCCAACTGACAAGGCAGCCATAACCTTTTAGCTGGTAAATACTGTATAATGCAATTATGTTCTCTATTTGCAGGCACACTGGTAGCATTGAATGTGCCAACACTCTATGCTTGGTGCACACACCAAAGCGAATGCCATTCAGGTTGGTCTATCTATAGTTGTGCATGTTGCTGTATGACGTTTTGGGGATTCCTAGCACAATATTTCTACATTACTGAATACTGGAAATAAGTTGTTCTAAGAGTCCTTAAATCTAAACTACAACACATATAAAGCCAGGAACCAGTTAACAGCAATTGACTGGAATTATCATGTTAATCTTGCCCAAGCAATGACCAAGTCGGGGGAAGAGCAAATAACAAGAAAGTACAACCCGAGAACCAGGCAATGAGATGTAAAGATTGTAAAAGTTGAAAACGGTTATGAGTATGTTCCAGCACTCCAGAATGTAAAACAGAAGAATATGTGATGCAGACAGTGTGACAAGACACATTTCTTTAAATGATGGCAACCCTGTCCTTACCTCCCCAACCACAGCCCACATTCCTCCTCCTGCAACAAAGGAAATTGTCCAAAAAAGAGCAGCATGCAGATTTGCAAGTGACAACAAATCATCAAAATGAAACTATAACAACATAATTAGCCAGTGAACCATATATATATATTACCCAATTGTTTTTACTATGTTTACATTTAACTTAACTATAGTACAAGACCCTGCATATAAGAACTTATATTTTTAAAGTTAGCTTAAACAAGTTATTATATAAATAGTGCTTATTATGAAATAAGAGTAAAGTAAACAGGTTCTTATTTTATAAAGAAAAAGCGCCACAGTTTTGGTTGGTGTAGGTATAGTTATTTTTCGTTGGTGTGTTCAAACAGACATGATGTTTATTGTTATGACATATTCAGGACTCTGACTCATTTTCATTACTGTATGAAGAGCAAGGGTGGGTAGTAGCGAAGTAGTTGTAGTTCGCTACTGTAGCGAACTACAATTTTCAAGTAGCCAGTAGTTTTTGACTACTTTTTTAAAACAGTAGCTGTAGTTATAGCGAACTACATTTTGCCTAAAAGTAGCCAAGAAGTTGGCTACTTTTCAAACAGTGAATCGCTATTCGCTACTTTTTAAAATTGTTAGTAACTTGATAGAATAGCATGATAATGAGACACAGTCTGCTTAAAATCAATACTTAACAGTTAATTTGCATGCCTGAACACTGTAGTGCTTTCAAAAATGTTGCTTTGTGTTTACTGTTGTTACTTGTAAATCGATTTGTTATAGGTTACATTCCAGCCTGAGTTAATAGATGCTCCAAATACAGTAAAACTAAAAATATAGAGTAGCGAAATAGTTCGCTACATTTTTTAAGCAGTAGTTGTAGTCAGTAGCGAACTACCTTTCTTTAAAAGTAGCAGTAGTTGTAGCTGACTACATATTTTTGAAGTAGCTGTAGTTATAGCGAACTACAAAAAAATTGTAGTCAACCCACCCTTGATGAAGAGTTTATTTTCTTTGCTTTATAAATTTTTTGTTTCAACTCTTACGAGCTAGTGATAAAAATAAAATAAACATCTGTTTGAAACTTTAGCCTAAACAGGTTCTTATATAAAGACGGTCTAAATAAACAAATTTAACATAACAGGTTCTTAAAATCTAGGTTCTCATACGCAGGTTCTTGCTGTATTAAAAAATTAATGGTCTCTATATCCCATGTAAACACCAGTAACTCTAATTTTTAAAACCACACAGCATGGACAAATTCATCTATTCCCTTTGCCTAGAAAGCCATGGCATGCTAGAATAAACTGTCTATAACCAGCTTGTGAAATGCTCTTATGCTGTTGTCCTCTCTATAATTACGGATGTCACTTCTATTGCAGATACACAGCTCCAGCACATCTGGATCAAGGCATAATTTTGCAAAACGAGAAGTTAAGGTTATGCATTTCTTTTGCCTACAACATTTATTTTCAACCTCTTGTGGCATTGATCTGCATTTGCCACATGTGCACCAATCTGGCACTGATTCAAGTGTTGGTTCTGGTGTTGGATTTAGGTCTTGTGATTGAGAGTGGGAAGGGCTCTGACTCTGAGAAGGGTCTATACCAGAGTTCAATGGATGTCATTGGATGGTTCACTAAATGCACCTAACCTTTCTGCATCCTGATCATCTTCATCAAGGTCATCCTCCATTATCAGTAGTGTGTCGATGTAGACCATATTACCAATACCTCCACGTAAACTACGAATAGCTAGCTTTTTTACCATATTTGCGTCTAGTGTAGCTATAAATTTCTAAAATAAATACAGTAGAACAAGAGTAGTTATTAATGCAAAACCCTGACAAGACATTGTATACTGTATATGTTATGCTATTATATGTGTAATATGAAATATTTTATATATAATATTTTATATATAATATTTTATGTAATTAAATATTATTTTAAGGTGAAGTACATACCTTCACATTTTCGTGTTCTTTTTCCCTTTGCCTGTCTTCCGACTCTGTGGTCACATGAGTAAGGCGAAAACCTTGTCTTGGATTTCCTGCTGTTTTGCATTTTTGTCTTTAATTTAATAAATTATATTATTACTTATTTACAGTAATAAATTTACGTGGTGTTTCCACAAACAAAAGTATTATATGTTTTATCGCCATGCAAACATACAAAGAACAAAGAGCTCCAATACTTCTGTTAATATTTGTTAATTTCCAAGTCAAGAAATGTGCCTTCTTGAGTTCCGATAGTATTGGTTTAACTATAACGGGGAACGAAGTGTTTCTCAATAACGAAACATATACTCTATCAAGTTTATGGCAGGGAAATGGTGGGAAACGCGCCTTTTGTGTTCGCCTGTCGAGTCGAAGCTTTCTCAACCTTTTAATTCTGATGTGTGGAGACATAGATTCTTGCCCTGGGCCACAAGTAGATGAGATAAGATGTGTACCGAAATTGAGTACTCTACTGGATCAAGGAGGCTTGAAGATATTTCATCAAAATGTGAGGGGTCTTTTCTCGAACAGACTTTATCTAACAGAGTTGTTTCAGAACTTTAAAGGTATTGATATTTTAACGTTAAGCGAAACCCATATAACAGAACAAGACCCTGAGTCACTTTTTGAGATCCCTGGCTACACATTTGTTAGTAACTATAGAAAAACGGGCAAGGGCGGTGGTGTAGCGGCTTATATTTCGAACAATATTGTGTGGGAGCGCAGACAAGACCTGGAAAACGAAGTTGTTGAATCTATTTGGATTGAGATTACACTTAAGCATGGAAAGAATATTCTGATAGGAATATTTTATCGGCCTCCAGACAGTTCAAAATATCTACATCGGGATTTTAACAATACCTTTAATGAGGTATTGTCATCAGTAAGCTCTGAGCCAAGTGAATAGATTGTTTTGGGTGATTTTAATGTAAACTATCTAATCCCTGGAGACAACCCAGAATTCAAGGCAATTCTGAATTTGTATGGTTTCAAACAGATGATAAAAAAACCTACACGAATAAATGGCTCGACCAAAACTTTGATAGACATTATTGCCACTAACAACCCGGTATCAGTTAAAGCCACGGATGTTATTCCGCTTTCAATTGGCATCACGAGATGATCGGCTGTGTTCGCAAGATAAACTCGACTAAGTTTAAGCCAAGAACTATAATTTGTCGAGACTATAAAAGCTACAACCAAAACGCAATGAACAACGAGCTAAAACTTGTTGATTGGTCCTACATGTATTATAATAGCAATGTGAACTCAGCTTGGACTTACATGAAGACAATAATAACTGGCATATACCTAAAACATGCTCCAGTTATTTCAAAGCGAGTTAAAGGTAAACCAGCACCATGGTTGACGGTCGAAGTCAAACAGCTTATGAAGGAGCGGGATAGTTTACTTCATAAATATCATAGGACCAGCAATGACAAGGACTTTCATGTGTATAAACTAAAGCGTAATAAGGTGAATACTTTGTTGTGTCAAGCGAAGTCCTCGTATAACAAAAATCTGTTGGAAGAAAATTCGAAGACTCCTGAGTCATTTTGGAAAATAATTAAATCAATTTACCCAGTTAAATCAACGGCGAGATGTCCGCTGATGCATCAAAAATTTCAAACGCTTTTTGCTCGTATTTTAATAACATTGTTGCCACTTTGAAGCAGAAAGCTTTTCCACTGCGTAATCTAGTTTGGAGAAACCCTAAAAACATTGGTAAAAAGACGGAGAAAGTTTTCAAGTTTTGAAATGTTTCCATTTTGGGAGTGGAAAGACAGCTGAGATCGCTTAAATCTACTAAATCTACGGGTTGTGACAATTTACCACCAAGATTATTGAAAGAATTGGCTTCTACAATTGCTCCACCGCTTACCCATATAATAAATTTGTCAATGCAGTCTGGTCTGATTCCATCCGAATGGAAATCGGCAAAGATTATACCAATTCACAAATCGGGTCCGAGGTCGAGTTTTGATAACTATCGCCCAATTTCAGTTCTCCCAGCAATATCGAAAGTAATGGAGACCATCATTCACCGTCAGGTTATGAATTTTTTGAATGAAAATAAACTATTATCGCAAAATCAATTTGGCTTCAGACCAAAAATGTCTACCGAGTTGGCGGCGGTGAAGTTTATCGATGAAATTCGTATGAGTGTTCTGAATTGGTTGGAGCTGTATTTATTGATTTGACTAAGGCATTCGACACGATTAGCCACTCTAAGCTGCTAAGTAAGCTACCCCAAGTATGGCATAAATGGAACTGAACTGGATTGGTTTAAAGATTATTTGTTTAGTCGGGCAGCTTGCGTTTCATACAATAATCATATTTCTCAGAAATGTTATCTTCGGTCCGGTGTCCCACAAGGGTCAATACTAGGCCCTTTACTGTTTTTGATATCATTTAATGACATTGTCGATATAATTGAACAATCCAGAATAGTGAAATATGCCGACGATGTTGTTTTGTATGTAGAGGATAAGAATATGGAGTCAATCAAATCAAAACTGATGAACGATTTGGCCAATGTTGCAGTCTGGTTGGATGAAAATGATCTAATTATCAACTTAAATGAAGGGAAAACCGAAGAATTACTATTTGGAACAGCTAAGCATATATGCAAATCAAACAAGTCTTTGTCTATACCGTATGGAAATACAGTTATTAATCTCACAAAGAAATACAAGTATCCTGGTGTTGAAGTTAACTCCACATTAAATCTTAACACTCATTTTGATGCTTGTTTTAAATGTGCATCAACAAGGTTATGTCTACTATCCAAAATTAGAGATAATTTAAATGTGGACTCGGCGAGAACGATTTATCAGTCAATGATCACACCGCTTTTGACATACTGTGGAATTTTGAATCTTAAATTAAGGTCAACACAACTGCATAAATTAGCTTCTTTTCGGGAACGACCCACTAAAGTTATTTTTAAGGATTTTCGACCTGATACAGAGCTCCCATCAATTATGGATTTAAGGAAGAAGCGTGCCTGTGAAATAGTTAGAAGGACTTTAGATGGCAATATCCCGGAGGCCTTAATGGATCATTTTGTAATTAAAGATCATGGACGTGAAACACAAAACCGAGGTTGTTTGATAAACTTACCAACTATAAAACTTGAATATGCACGAAGAGGATTCTATTTCATGGGAGCTAAATTATATAATGAGCTGCCATTGAATATTAGATCTGCAACAAGTTCTGAAGATTTTTATAAACTATTAAAACTTCATTTCAGCTAATATATATCTATATATATATACATTATAATGATACCTTTTAATGAACTGCTTGGAACATCTTGAACTTTCAATTTTTAAGCTATTATAGATTTTTACTAAAGTAGTTTTTGGACACAGGACACGCGTTGATAACAGCAATATTCTTGCTGAAGTGTTTTTATCCTGTTAAAATATTCGTATTATTATTATTTATTATTATGATTTGTATTGCTTTACAAAAAAATATGTAAAATATGCATATTTTGACTTACCTCAGAATTCATTATACAGCTTTGAAACAATGGCAGATTATGTCGTCCGAGCAATTTCCGACAGTTTCTGAACTGGCTTTTGTTATGCCCAGTAGGGGTTTGCATAATGGGACACTGCTCCTTTAACTCGTTCTCATCTGGTCGAAAAGTAGCAATTTTGAGGTGTTGTTGTTTTAAACGCATATATCTTTCCAACGATACCAATTTTATCCCGAGCTTAGTTAACGATTTACTTGCATAAATTTGCATAAATTATGATATAAAAAAATGTTGCAATTATGCATAAATATATTTACCGGTTCAAATTTCAAAAATGTCAAAAATTTTATGAATGTAACTGTGAAAGACACGGTTTTGATCTACATGTACCCGAAGTTTCATGCATGTAGCATAAATAGAAGTATTTCTATTGAATTTTTTAATAAACTATGTAGTGAAGTAAAATTTACATTTTGTGCTCACGTGAAACAAATAGCCTTATCAAATGTCCTTTTTCATTGCTGCAACATATTATCAATACAAATTTCCAATATTTCTTGCTCTCCAAGGATAGCATGGCACTAAAATAAGTCTGTGATACCCACAAAAGAACACTCAAATCACTATTTGCAAAATGTCTTTATTTCTACGGTTGCTATATACATTCTTAGATAATCAGTACACCATTGACTTAGTTATCAGTGGCATAACCAGCCTGAAAATTTTGTTAGAAATTTTAAATAATTACTACTCATTTCTTTAAATTTCTTTGGAAATTGATTGTTTTCACAATCTAGAACATGAAAATATTTGCATATAGCATGACCAAGTTTTGTTGAGCTGGCGTCATCATTGGTAGTTATAAAAAAAGTAATGTTTTCCAAGGCAGTAATGTTTGCCAGGACACATAATTGGATTATGTGGTGAAAATATTTCCTTTTTTTTGCACAAAATATATATTGGACCACAAAAGACCTAAGACTATAACCAAACTTATATCACATCACCACGTCATACCCAAATCCATGCTGCTATGAATTTCTGGACTTCTTCCTGCATAAATCTCAAGTCGCAATATAGCCATTAGCTATTAGCTAAGACTTTCTGCAGCAACCCACAGATTTATCCCCCACATAGTAGGCCATCTTTCATGAACTGCCTAATCCCCAACCTATTCCTTGATTTGACAGTGTGTTCATCAACAGCAATATTCTGTGATGGCTGGTACAGTTGTTGATGCAGTTTATTGCTGTAGTCTTCAGTGACAGGATCTACCCATATTCAGAAACGCCATAAGCGCTCTGTACCTAAACCGAGAAATTATTTCTATTGCCCACAGACCATGATATAGTGGGGCAGATAACTGCAATTTTTGTGAGAATTGTTCAAAATGTGATACAAGCATGAAACTTCACAGGATTGACATTTAGGCACTCCTTGACAATTCTAGTCGATTAGACAATTGAAAATCGAAAGCGTTTGGCGATAATGGTGCTTTGAAATGTGACGTCATTTTTTTCAAGATGGACGCCATCTTGTGATATCCCTGTTAGTATATTTTCTATCAATGCTATGTTTATTCTTCTGTCGAAGTTCTTATTAAAATTATTGTTACAGATAACACTGTTTAATGTTTGACAAGATATCTGAAAGAGGTCATTATAGGAGAATCAGCATAGATGTTTATATACTTTCTCACTACCCGAAAGAGATCATCAAAACCTCCTCAGTAAGGGCTTAGCTTGAAACGCCAAAGTTTTAGTCATCTCTTTCAGGTGGTGAGAAAAGAATACCACATCTACGCTGATTATTGTAAACCACTGCTTATATATACACACTGGACCCCCACGCTCAAGTTATCTGCATTATAGAGGAGTCATCATGAATGATGTCATATTTTCTCAGATCTGGCAGCTACAGCTACAACGTCGAGTGCAAACAAGGCCAGACTGATAACATTTACATCTCCCACAGCAACCTTTCTTGCACCCACATTTTGTTAGTTCCTGGCAGCTGGACGCAACAGGTGGAAGATCTGTCCAAATAATCTCCCATTGATCAGCTTCCTTTCTCCATATCTCAGGACTTGGTATATCTGGATTTGTTGTAGTTGCTTGTCCCCTGATTAATCCAGCTTGATATGCTTCTCAAGGGATGCTCGAGTTGGAGGGATTGCCTGGAATGACCGTTGCTTTCTTGCATCATTTACCATTGTGAATGTGCTAGACCTATCAAACAAACCTAACAAACTTTTCCAAGATAGACATATCCCGGTCACTTACTTCTGTTGGAATATGGCTTAGAGCTGCAAAAGTCTGAGAGACCTCCTCGTCACACACATTCCATGTCTGGCATCAAGACCAAGGCGTTGTAAGGACGGCATTACAGCAACAGCGATAACAACGACATCAGTATCATTTGCTTTGACTATAACTGATTTAACCCCTTGCAATGCTAGACTTCTGGCATGTACAAAAATCGTGTATCGGCCTCTTCGTGATTGCACGGCTTAACTTCTTGAGGTACGGCTCTATTACTAACAACATCTTCCCCCTTTGTTACTATGACAGTGTTTACAAGGCCATCAGCGTCAGATATCTTGTCAGCAAGGAACTTAAAAAGTTCTGTTTTGTTCTCACCGTCTTGCAAAAATGCTCTCCAATTTCCTGGTGCTTTAGTAGTGGATGTTACCCTTCTTCTGATGCCTTTTCCTCTGTTGGTTCTCGTCTCATTTTTCAAGCTTGATTCACGGTATGTGTCGAACACGATGTCTGTTCTTTCATACTTTCTGAAGTAAACCTGCATCTTTGGTAATATATCTTCATTAAAATACTCTTCGAATGTCTTCTTTGAACTTGGTGGAAGAGTATTCATCATTGCCGATCCATCAATGATTATAGCATCTGCAGTTCATGCTCAGGTAAAGCCACTTTTGCCTCAAGCTCTTCAATTAGTTGAGACTTTTGACAAGAGTAAAGTCTGCTGTTGTCAGAGAGAGCTGCTGGTGTACAGTGATTTTCATACTGGAAAAACTCTTGAAGGTCACATCCCCTGGTTTGACACGAAATGAACAGTCTGGAAAATAGCTGGCAATCTTCTTTTAGTGTCTTTTCTTTAGATGCACTTTCAGCTTGCTGTTGCTTGAAGAAGGCAATATCATTCTTCTTAATAGGCTAAAAAAACGATCCCTTTCCATTTGATTTATAAAGGTTTGAAGTTTTTCTTTTCCTCTTTTGTGGTGTGTTGTTATCAATTTAGCTCTATCTGGATGGGCGATATCTTTCGTGTCGAGAGATAGAAGATCAGGCGATTCTTCTTGGAATGGATTACCAAAATCCAACAGTACGTCCACTAGCCGGTTCACATTCTTGAAAAATTCTTGCTGAGCCTTTGCATTATCCTCATGGTGCTTTTTGGGAGCATTTGCATCTTTTAACCCTGAGAAACAGTCATATCTGGATATAAAACGGCTCACCTCTGGTCCCGCCACCATCCACCTTCGCAATGCTGCTTCATCCTCAGTAAGACCAATAGCGCCTCCTTCGCCTTTTATGATTGCTGCGTGTACTTGTTGTATGCACTTTTCATAAGCTTGAATAAAGCGCATGCGGTGACTTGGTGAGCATGTCTTGCTCTTGTAACACTTGATACCGATATAAAAGATTGAGCGGTTCCAGAGGAAGCCACATCTGCTTCTGTAAGGGCGCTAACCCATCCACTGTCTTGTAGAATTGTTCCAATTGATCGAAGTGCCGCCAATTCTATGTGGAGACCTCCAAACATTATTACGAACTTGTCTTCGCCATACTGCTCTGGCCATTCCCATTGTAACTGCTTGGCCAATGTGTACAGAGGCTGGTCAGCTGCCATAACTGGAGTCTGTCCTGCGTTTAAAAATTCAGTCGTTTCTCAAATCTTACCCATTGCATGCTTGATTGTTGCAACAGAGTGAGCTACATCCCTCCAAAGAGGTAGCAGTGATGCAATGCTTATTTGAAAATTCTGACCTCTTCTTTTTGAAGCATGATAAGCTGAGCACATGATACTGGCACTTTCATTGACATCCTCCGTTCGATTTACTATTTCTAACCAGGCATATTCGAGACTTGGGTTTGTTGATATAGACCCCATTGATTCTACCACTCAATTTGGTGCTGCGCTTGGTTCAGGACTCATGTGTAAATAAGCTGGTTTGACATTGGTGTAACTTTCGGGAAGTGCAGGCACTCTCTTTACCGTTTTATCTCCTAGTTTGAGACCTCCATTTGTGGAACTTGGGTGTTGAAAAATTGAAATGCCTGTACCGTGGAAGGATGTCTGTGCTGTACTTGAAGTAGGATTATGATCAATGTTGTCTACTGGCAAGTTTGTGAATAAACCCTTCCTTAATGTTGGTGGGCAAACAACACCATCCTCTACATATTGGTTGACAACAGCTTCGCCTAGTTGTGCTGAAATTTCTGAGACTCTGAGACTCTGTCGTAGGAAATGCTAAGTCCATTCTCGTATAGCATTTCCACAAGTTTCCTGTTCCTATGTCTTGAGTATACAGACAACCCAACATAAACTGGAAAAGGAGTTTCACGATCTTTTGCTGTGCGTCTTTACACCTTCGTTGTGCCTAGCAGAGCAGTTGTACTGAAGAAGTTGAGCCAATGCAAGATTTGGTTTTGAGGCGCCATATCTAATTTGTGATTTTATATCCGCCCCATGTTCTAACATGCACAAAAATTCAAGTAAAGATGCGGGAACAGCCTCCTCAATAGAATCTCCATTGAGGATTTTTTCCAATGCCCATTTGTGGGATAACATGTCCTTTCGGATTATCGATCCGGTTTTTCCATGATGAATCACGTGACTAGTAATATTTTTCTGTGCTAACACATCACCGATATCACTGTGGAACACTATGAACACATCACGCCCCTCGTGATAAGCTTGTACTTCTGGCATGTGTAATAACAATTGCTCTTTCAATCTTGTACAGTTCAGATCTGGACAATCAACACCAAGTTGCTCAAGTCGCTGCCCATACAGTTTCACTAGTTCAGCCATTTTGAATCTGACCGCACCATCATCAGCTGATGTAGCTGTTTTTGATTCGGTTATAAATGTGACAATTTCAGAAAAAGCAATGGCATAGGCCTCTCTCTTTGGAAGTATTCCGTCACATGTGGATTGTTCTTTGGCACTCAGTTCAGCTCGCTCCCTGTTATACAGTGCTGCTAGGCAGGCTGGGTGGTACTTAAACCCTTGAGCAACTATGTCTCCTGCACTGAGTTTTGCTAGTAGTTTGCCGTCATTTAAGATTTTTGCACAGTTGTTTAGCCTATCATTCAGCTTCATTGTCATTGCTTGTCTCAAATGTATATCTTTATCCTCTTTATCGCATAAAAAACAGTGTAATTTCGAGCAACTGGAAGATCTCCTTTGTTTTTATACCCCATTTCCATAAAGTTCTTTTCTTAGCTCTGTCCAACTTAGTGTTGTTCAAAAGTAATCTACAGCTCTGATGATATTTTGCATTATTTTTTCTTAAAGTGTCGTCTATAGCCCCATCTTCGTCTAGTCTACGAGGATCCAGCATGGGCGGCAGTGCATTAATTGCCTTAAATTGTGGAATGTTGGTTGCAATATTGCTGTAACCATCAGTTGTTTCTTTTTGTGTGGGATTTGAGTGAGGTGACTTCAACTCTTCATTCTTTTCTTGTTGACAGAGGCAACACTTACTCCAGTCGGTTTTGAATTCCACAGGTGTTGCCATTTTCTGATCCTGAATAATTACTGATATGAATAGTCACTTGAGAGTAAAAGAAACAAAATAACCGGCGTTTAGACACGTTTGTTGGAATTGAATTATTCTTCATAAATTATTTATAGTCACGTATGGCTCTCAATCGCTATAAATTTCGAACCAAAATTAAATTACTGAAATTAAGCATTATTAATAAAAACAATATTAATCAACAACCAACTTACCACTTTTTAATTTTAGTAAGCAAAATAACACGATAAAACTTCGAGTAACACCAGAGATGTAATTTCAAAATGGCTGCCATCAAACACAGGCACCCCAAACTGCAACAGGGAATTAGATCCTATAAAATCTCAACTCTTTTCCTCTGCCGTTTAAAGTTTTTATTATCAAATAAGAGCGATAAGAGAGTTTACTAAACACTAGGGATAAAAGGGGGATTCATAATGACAAACAACAAATGAGTGGGCTGTTTATTCCATTCCTTATTCTAGCTGAGCAAAGACTAGAGCACTATGAAATAGGATACTTTTCCTAAGCCTTTCCTTAAGTTGATCAGGGATTGAGAGGTACAGCTGGGGTCAAAGATTCCACCAATTATATTTTCAGACAAAAATTGTGGGAGTTTGGCATTTTGCAATACATTTTACCTACAAGTGCAGAAAAAAGGGAAATGAATAACTGCAAATAGTATGTTGAGAACTTGCTTGCAGGTATTATTTGTGATTGTTAAAATTATTCCCAATCAAACAAATTACATGTCTATGAGCCTGGCAACCCCTTCCCATTGCCTCAATCAAGAACATACACCATGTTGTTAGTGATCATTTGACTTTTCAAGTAAATACTGTACAGTACTCAATGCCAGCTTTTCCCCGAGCCGATGGCACGAAGCGCCGTGTGAGGGTACTAATTCCCCCCGGCTATCTACACTCGGGGAAACGAAAGCATTAGTGAAGTCTAAAGTTCATCAAATATCGTGGGCGTGGGTCACCAAACGTTTGTGGTCATCCTCACAGATCTCAAAAATATGGCAGACTGTCATGAATAGCGAACACTCTGATTGGTCCAATTTAAAGTTTCCATTATAACGACTGCATGACAACAGCGAAATAGCAAACATTTCTTTATTTGATGATTGATAAATTTCTTGCAAATATATTTCATTTTTGCTCGCATTTTTGCAAGATTTTGTAAATTTCAAGAAAGAAATGGCGAAAGAATCGGCTAAAAGAAGGGAGCCGACGTTAACAAAGGTAAGTTTGTTTTAAATATTGATTTTATAATTGCTTTAAAACCCGACGGCCTTTGCGTATATGAAACAACTAAACAAGACAGCATATCGGGCCCCATTTCAGTGTATCTTTAATATTGATTCCCTTTTTTATTATATTGAATTTTTTTAAATAAAAAGAAAGCAAAGTTATTTGCATGCAAGAATTTGAAATCATTTTATTGCAAACTCAAAGTTTATCGATAAAGCCATTTAATTAAAGAATAAAGGCAGTTTAGTTTTATAAAGAACACTTTAAAACGTTTTGCGAAGCATTTGTGGTTGAATTTTACCTTAAATTGAAGCTTATATTACGTATAATATCATACCTAACATATATATGTTGGGAAATTGATAATTTTGAAATTAAAAGTGATATTTTTAAGCGATTTTTCATTTGTAAGAATATTCTTAAGAAATTATCGTGTTTAATACCATGACAACTACTTTAGATACTTCATGTTCGGAAAATACAATGGTTTTGTTAGCAAGGCGAGGGTTTCTGCATGCATGTATTTTCTAGTCAATAGTAATATACGTTTTTTTGTATGCTTGTGAGTTGTCCTAGACTATTTATGTCCATTAATAATCCAACATACTCATAATGGTTCCCACACAGGTGTATTCATCAGCCAACAGCTCCCGTAAACCATTATCAAAGTACCTTTCTTTTATTTCCACCATCACTAATCAGAAAAACTCCTTCCGAGGACCTCCATAATCCAGTGTTTGCTAATAATAGAAAAAACAATCGCATGTTATTCTGTCACATCTGTCCTTGAAAAAGTGAATCATAAACCTCAGTGCTTAAAGCCACAAACTAATGCCAGGCATTGACCATTGATGATTAATAGTAGGTAGATTTTCCAGAGGGGTGCAGGAAAGGTGCAGCCTTTACTTTCAGAAAAATCCACTTTTACTATCTTGGGATTACATGTCATATGAGTTGCGTTTTATGGGGAGTTACTATTTTTAGACTTTTAGAGTTAGGATTAGGGAAAGGGTTTGATTAAGATTAGGGTTAGGATTAAAGCAAGGGTTAGGATTGGTGTTTAAAATACAAAAGAATAGAAAATTACAAAAGTCTAAAAAGAGTAACTCCCTCGAAAACGTGACTGGTATATTACGTGTAAAAGGGAAAAAAGACATCAGATTCTTTGCATTTTTGTAAATTAGAAATTTAAAAAATTAATTTTGGAGCTAATATCAGTTTAGTAAATTTAATAGATTCTGATTGGTTAAAAACCGTGCACAGATACAAGTCCACATTGCATCAAACACCAATCTCAACATCAACAATTTGAAAATTTATCTTTTCTGTGCTCTTATTTTGCAATGAGCTCTTTAAATATGTTTAAATATTAAAGGTAAGGAAGAAATAAAGATTATTCACAGTATTTCACAGGTATGAATTGAAAATTAATCTCCGAAATTACTGTCAAAATTGACAAAGGTGCATAGCAAACAGTGGATAATTTAAACAAACAAATAGCACATTATATAAGTTCACTTGTCTTCATGCAAGCCAATGCTTTTTAATTTCCATATTTTAGAATCACTTACTTTCCTGGTAACTGCATTTGTATATGAAATCATTGTGAGTAGGTTTAATAACAAATTAACCAACTTTGAATTTGTAAAAATTATCAACAAAACAATCGTATATTGGAAGAATATAATTGTCACACATTCAGTCACTGTCAGAAAGCGGGAAAATGTTGGTAGTATGATATATTTGCAATTAATAATATTATTTAATCATGGCTAGAAATGTGTCACAGTTTGTTAGAGAGCATACACAAAAATAAAAAAATAGTTGTTCAAAATGGCGTCGATTAATAGTACAATGCATCACAGACGGCCCAATCTCTGAACGTCCTATATATTTTGAATATTTAACCGTTATAATATTTTAAAATAACAAAATAATTTTAAAAATATTAACAATATATGTAAAAAATATGTCTCACTTGTTAATAGAATGCATTTGTTGTGTTTCTGAGTCTAGTTGATGCGTTGCTTTACGTTTTCGTTGTACTTGAACGGTCGTCAGTACTGGCATTGCTATTGGACGACATGGCCATATAGGACATAAATAACTACAGGGCTAGCCACTTCTCTGATATACTCTCAGACATCGAGTTAAATATCTCGTCTAAAAATCATTGCAGAGCAATAAATTCCCTAATAGTATGAACGTTCCTCTTTCGAAAGAACTTGGTTTGTTCACCATTGCGACAATTCCCACAACACACGACGAACTTTGTTTGTCTAAAATTCAAAATTAAATTTTCAACAGAACCGTTTACAACATAATCGTTGCCACGAGAGCGGCCCAGGAACCTGGCCTCCTCGTTCGAAAACACTCCGCCAGAGGGGATCTGCGGTAATCGTTCCATGTTTCGCGCACCAATATAGTAAAAGTTATGTAATGGATATTATAGTGTACTGAAAAGTTCACTAGATACCTCCATACACATATAACACACCCTAACCCCAACCCAGTGGCGTGCTGGCAGGGGGGGGTGGGAGGCCACAGCCCCCCAGCTGGCAATTCTTGGGGGGCGCAAAAATGAAAAGGGGGTGCCGAATTTTGAAAGTGGGTGGGAAAAAACGCATTCTCGAAAAAATATAGTTACTTCCGCCAAGAAAAGATGTGTTTATAGGCTATAAAACAGACTAAGCGCATAGGCGACAAAGTCATATATTAAATTACAGACTATTTTGTCTAACCGTATTTGCTAATTTGCTACCTCACAGCTCACATGAAATTGTTCATATAGAAACATGATCAGTGATCACAGGCAATGTCTCATTACCGGAGTATTGGTCAGGTTTCGAAGCGATCACGGGAATTATGCCCTTTTTTACTGGTATTATGCCCCTTTATTATGCTTCACGAATCACGAGAGCAGCGCAAATTAGATAGTTGAAGTTATGATAACTGATGTAAAGTTGTGTATGCAATTTAGTTGTTTGCGCCAGAAGCATGAGTAATGTAAGTAATGAAATAATGCGGAAACACGCCCTTTTGGCAGCCTGGCAAGGAAACCTTAAAATGCATATGCGTGGGTCCGTGTGTTATTGTATAAAAAAGCTGTAAGTTGTAAATGTATTCAGAACACTAGATCAGTAGAGAATAGAATTGGGATTAGATTAATCGCTGGAAGTAGAAAGAATTGCATAATTTAAGAACTACTACTAAATTCTAACCGCAAATTTCGACACGTTATAATGCTGTTTCCTGACCCAACCTTAAACCTAACCCTAACCTAACCCCTAACCTTAATACCTAACCCCTAACCTATATTGGAGCGTGAAACATGGAATGATAACCGGATCTGCACTGGAATGAGGGGCTTTGCAAACAACACGATAAAAGCACGATATAAACAATAAGACATACGGTTGAAAGTCCAGTTCAATACTGTAAAAAAGATTGGTATGATTGTCAAAAGCTAAATGTTATAATAAGTAAATAAAGTTTTTGTTCCAAAAAATATGCAAGGTAATGTGTATATGATTTAACTGACCATCTCTCTAACTTTATCATTTTCCATAAGTTTTCCTCCCTCCCATCACTCGAGTATTAACGTATATAAAAGGGACTACTCAAAATTTGATGAAATTGCATTATTAAATGAAATTAAAGAAATTAATTGGGAAATAACATTCCCATCCGATAATAATCCAACAAACATGTTTCATTCTTTCTATGATAAAATTTCAACAATAGTAGATAAACATATCCCCATTAAGAAAATAAGTAAAAGACAATTGAAATTTAATTCAAAACCATGGATATCTTCTGCAATTAAGAAATCAATTCAAGTTAAGAATAAAGTGTACAGGGTATACCTGAAGACAAAATCTTCATATTGTCATAGCAAATTTAAATATTATAGGAACAAGCTAAATCATTTCCTGAAAATAGCTAAAAGACAATATTATAATAATTACTTTATCCAAAATGTAAATGATAGCAAACAATTATGGAAAGGAATAAAAGACAATAAAAACTAAGCCAAATACTAATCAGAAAAATATAAAAATATTTGACAATAATGTAGAAATAACTGATCCAAAGATGATTGGTAATGCCTTCAATAATTACTTCTCAAATATAGGTAATAATCTATCTAATGTAATACCTAATGTTCAAAACTCGCCTCTAGATTATTTAAAAACCCCAGTACAAAATAGCTTTTTTATGTTCTGAGTAACTAGTGACGAAATTGTGACTGAAATTTCCAAGCTTAAAAATGGCAAGGCCTCCGGCCCATTTAGTATACCTGTTCACATTCTCAAAATCCTTAAATTTGCAATCTCCGAGCCTTTAGCAACTTTATTTAACACTTCATTTGAGACAGGAATTGTTCCAACAAGTTTTAAAATAGCCAATGTTATACCAGTATATAAGAAGGATTCGCCATCCAGCCTTTGCAACTATAGAGGGTTTTTCTGTTCCAGAAATTGCAGATATGCTTGGAACATTTAAAAGCACAGTGAAAATAAGATTGGCGATGTATTCATTGTCAGTCAGACAAAAATACTCTGATATTACCAATGAATACCTTGATGAACAAGTTTCTCAGGTTCTCGAGTTGTTCCCTAACTGTGGATACAGCCAAATGTTGGGCCATCTTGCTGCGCGAGGGTTGTGTGTAAAGGAGATGGGAGTTAGGGAAAGTATGCACAGAGTGGATCCAAATGGAGTTCTACTTAGAACATTGGAAAGTCGAATTATACAGAGAAGAGGGATAATGTATACTCGCCTAGAGCGCTTTACCACCTCGATGGGAATCATAAACTGATACGATGGCGGTTTGTGATACATGGTATGATTGATGGGTTTTCCCGTATGATCATTTTCTTAAGGTGTTCTACAGACAATAAAGCTTCAGCTGTGTTATCTTGCTTCCTAAGTGGTGTTGATAGGTACGGTTAACCTTCACAGTTATAATGCGTGTCATGACAGGCTCTGGCAAAGTCCTCAATAGTTTTCCAAATAGAATTCTTGCAAAGGCGCATATAAGAGTGCGATCATATATAGGGTATCACAATTACGAATGCACTGTGATTGGAAAAAAATTCATTCTGTAAAGGTAATAAGACGTACATTAGTACATATAATACACAAAGGGGCACCTGTTTATTATCTGATTTCTTAAAACATCAACATTTTAAGAATTTGTCTCTAAAGTTTGCTTAATATTATTTATGTTTCTAAAAGTTAATTTCTTTAATTTGTGCTTTTCATTAATTATTGAGTTTCACAATTCTAATTCTAAATACATATGTATGCATTAGGAGACCATGGTGGAGAAAATGCAGATGTGGCATGGTTCATGTTGACACACAAGGACAGAGGTCCTGACAGAGGGAGTTTCATTGCTGGACGAAGTGTACACAATCAAAGAATTGGTAACGTTTTATTCCAACTAATTTTAGATTTCCAGCTCAAGATTGCAGAGGCAGAGCTGAAATTCATGTGATTTATGTTTAAGATAATAATTTTTATAACTGCAAAATGAATTAAAAATGCATTCAGTGACATGTATGAGTACAACTGAGTGGACATTAGTGTGTTTCACTAGTTTTGATACCTCAAAAGGTTGCCACTACGTAGTAACCCGTTTCATCTGTATAGGAATCATCACCACCTGACCGGTGACTAATTTCGTTATCCTTTGTGGCATAACGTATGTGTGTGTGGATACAATGGATGCTTCATCAGCTTTTATGATTACCTTGTTTACATGAAATTTGTTTTGAAGATGACATTTAGAAATAATTTCCCCTCTCCAACTGAGTAAAGAATTTTTGTTTTTTTGTTCGTTTCACCCAAAAAACAAATGATTTCCATGAAATGCTTGTGACAACCACCCCCATTGCCCCATAGAAAGACAAATTTCAGCATAATAACATGATTGTCATATACAGCTAGCCTAATTCAATTAAGGTTGTCCTTCCAAAAACTGAAACTTTAAACTCTGAGCATGCAAGGGATGATGGGTTATTGCTTATTTAGACTCATAAACTTTGAAATTTGGCTTTGCAAGAATAACTCAGACATATTTGATAAACTTTGAAATTTGGCTTTGCAAGAATACCTCAGACATATAGAAGACTCGCAACGGAAAACATATAGAGCTGTGCAAACTCCGGTTATTTTAGCTCTGGCTGTCAAAACTCCGGCAAGGAATTTGTAAGGAAACTTCATATTTAAAAGTGGAAGCAGGCGAAAGTATTTCAGTGTAATTTCAGAATTTATCTTTTTTAAACACCTTTTTACAACACTATTAATAGTAAACAACATAGTAATATATAGTAAACCAACATATAAATAGTAATATATTAGTAAACAACAACTTCATTTTTCCATTTAATACCAAATGTTCATTGAAATATGAAATCATTTTTCATAATTTTGTCTGCCGGAGTTTTCCAACTCCGGCTCCGGCAAAATATGCTGGAGTTCTGGCACTCCCGCACACAGCTCTAAAAACATACTTGCTGCAAAGGCAATTTTCTGAGTTTTAAGGGCATAATAGGTGAAAACCAATCATCCCTTGCACACTCAAAGTTTAATGTTTATGCTTTTGGAAGGACAACCTTAATTGAATCAGCTGTATAAACATTTAAATATATACACTTTTAAAAAATATGAAATTATTCCTCATGCTAAACGAAGAAATTAATTTGTAATTTTTATTTCTGACAGTATGATTACAATAAGAATAGAGCCTGATTTCTCCTTGCGGAGAAAATAAGGCTCTGCCTGTCTTTGAGCTTATATTTTTAGAATGACTGCTAAATTTAGAGAACCAATCGAATACAGTCATAACTATGTGCGTACACTGCACATGCTGTACAATTAGAGCATGACAAAAACATTCTCAAATTTATTTTAAATAGATATAGTGTTTGTCAGTTGTGAAATCAAACTATTACTATATTTTTACAATTGCTAACTTGCTAGTTTATTTTACCTGACTTACAATGCCTAGGTTCACTTTTAGGTAAATCTAGGCAATTCATAGGCTTATTGTCAGCCAAACTTTGATTAAGTTTTAAATTTTGGATATACTGTATATGGCGGGCTCAAATTTGAGTATCGGTTTACATGGAAAACAAAAGCCCATGCATTAAAAACCGGTTTACTTCGTCGAGATTTTGGACGAACTAAACACAAGATCAGCAGAAAAATCAAGCTCTGCTTTCAGGGTAGATAGTGATAGAACCACCTTGTTTTACCATTGATTTCACAAAACTTTGACCACAAATGTTCCAAACTTCGTTGCGAAGTTTGCAAGTTGTTGCAAAATTCGGAAGTTCATATTGGAATTCACAAGCCAATTTGTAAGCAAGCCCCTGATTGGTCCCTGTAGTAAAAGAAGCCAATCAAATGCGTTGTTTACAAACTGGTTTGTGAATCTCATTATGAACTTTTGAACTTCGCAACGAACTTGCAAACTTTGCAACAAAGTTCGGAACATTTCTGGTCAAAGTTTCGTGAAATCGACTATCATTAAATGCATTTATTTATCTATGTGTTGGTCTTTATATCAAAGAGTATTAAGTACCATAGTTGCGATAATACCTACGTGTACATTTTCTTCAACAACTTCCGGATCCATTGTAAGGTTTCTTTGAATTGGCAACACATATATTATTGCCGATTTAATTCCATAGTCATTCTACAAAAACGGAATTCTGTAGCCATTTGGAGGAGGTTTTATGTAAATTAGGTCTTTGCCAGAGCTTAATTTGCCTATACAGATCAAAACCACCGGCTTGTTGTAGTTTGCTGAAACGGTTAAATAGCTCTTCTTGGATGTGCCTGAATTCCCCTCTTTTATTTTTAAAGATAACAGTCTTTTGTCCAAGTCCAGCTTCACGCAGTTCTTGTTTATATGCAGTAGATGGAACTTTCCTCTGATCTTTGTTAGCTACAACACAAAATTGTCCATGTGTCCACGTTTCTTTGATCTTGTATGGTTGAAAATAAGACTTGCCTTTGTTTCTTCTTGAACTGAGTGTACTTTGATAACTGCTCTTACAACTTTGGTAATTACCTGGCCAAGATTGCCTAGCAGATGATGCCGGCATACTAGCTTTGCTCTTACTCAAGGTGGACTGTGAATTTCCTGAACTATGAGAAACAATATTTCCATTTTGTGAGGTTGTTGGCTGGTCCATTACTGATGGGCCAGGAAATATATTCCTATAAAAAAATCATTGACAATTATATTGCACTACTGAGAGTCAAGTATGGAGTAAAAATAAATGTAAGCTAGGAATGACAAATTTCAATTGCATTTTCAGGCTTATGAAGGCATGTTTACACCTCAATTTCTAGTGCGATTTTCTTTTGATGGGACGTGAACAAGTGAATGAGTTATGAATGTTCAGATGAGGGTATATAGTATATACTCAGAACATTCATAACTCATCTACTCATTCAAATCCATCAGAAGAAAATCGCACTAGAAATTGCAACACAAATTGAGAGTCTAAATATTAATATTCTGGTAACATCTTCCCTCCCCCCTCACCCAATAGATTAAGCAGTGCATTTCATTGTGCAAACAAATTCTCTTGAAAAAAACACCAGTCAATTGAATGTACTATTGTGCTCATAAAAAATTGGAAACAATATTTCAAAAACGTCTATAAAGAAATATGAATTGTAATTTTTAAATGAAGTAATTGCAGCTTTGCCCTTGCCCCCCTCCCCCATGACAAGATCTGCAGTGTCCTTGGTAACTTTGTTATTTCTTGGTCTAATAAAATCCAGGTTCCCAGAAAGAAAAGTTTTATCCACCTTCGATTGTCAAATTTGTAAAAGAACATATTCTTGTAATTTCAACTTCTAAACTTTAAACTGTTTTGAACCTCAAACTGTTTTGAACTTATTTTGTTGTTTCTTTAAATGAACACGGATGAGATTAATAACAAGTGGGTGGACAAGTTTTCTGCAAATATATAGACCAGGCTGGGGAAAAAACTTACCGATTTTGTGAAGCACTAAGATCATCATTCACAGGTTGTTCTAACGTCGACTTATAAGTGCATTACCATCATTGTTCTTCAAATATGCCATCAAATCCAGTGTCATCAAGTTTGAATAACAGGCCATCATCATCTGAGAAATCGTTCTCGTCTGTATTCTGGTCGGGAGAATTTGTGCAATCGCAACCGGACAAAGACCAGTACACTTCTATTCTCGGCTTTTTGACAGGCATTCTTGGTGAATATCCTGACTTACAACCACAGTAACGTTTTCCAAATTTCCATCAGGAGTTGCCGGCATCAAGTGGTCTTGTATTTTTGGACCCGATACCGCTCCATACTATATGGCCATGTCATCCAATGCCAGTACTGACGACTGTTCAAATACGATGAAAACGTAAAGCAATCACATCAACTAGACTCAGAAACACAACAAATGCATTCTATTAACAAGTGAGATATATTTTTTACATATATTGTTAATATTTTTTGAATTATTTTATTTTAAAATATTATAACGGTTACTGTTATATAGGACGTTCAGAGATTGGGGCGCCCGTGAATGCATTAACCAAAAATAGCACTTATACTGTGAGTATATTCCCATTTGCCCACCTATATAAATTATAGAAATACACCAATGTACACCTGTAGAAATTCTTATAATAAAAGGGCCTCAGCAACTTGGTTCCCCACAGTGCAATTATATAGGCAACTATACCCTTATTTTAGTAATGTTGTGGCTGTAATTTATGCTCTGATGCCAAACTATGCTGTAAAATTGCCCTTGTTTCGCCTCAGGAAAATCACACTAGTGTGAAGCTACCACAGGATTCAACACAGGATTCAGCCGCACTTTTGCTTTCACCAAAATGACACTTCAAAAAATTGTTAGAACAAAGAATATCAATTGCTTGATAGAAATTCGTCGGAGCAAGACATATAAATTGCTCCCGGTCAAGACAAATATTTCAAAATTATTTTGGTTTTCTTTAGCTTGTTTCGATGCTATTCTTCTTTTAAGCTCAAGTTTGGAGTGTTTGGCATCATGGTTTGATTTATTAATCCTGTAGCAGCCCTGTATAGCAAGCATTAAAAAGGCTCGTGTAGTTGTTGTGAGAGCCGAAAGATGGGGGACGAAGAAGGACGCGTAAATACTCGAAGTCATTCGCGTAAAGATTTAGATACTTATTTTAAGTCCGATGCATTTGGAGACTTAGTGAATAAAGCAATTACACAGCAATTCCAAAGTTTCTTAAGTTCAAAAGGTTTTCAAGATATGCTTGTATTGATGACTAAGACAATCGTCTCTGAAGTGGTGTGCAATACAGTCGAGTCTGTCGTCGATAAAGAAATTGACAAGGTCGTTCAACCTCTAAAAAATAAAATAGCTGAATTGGAATTTCAGTTAGATCGAGTGAAGTCTCATGCAAATGATAATGAACAATACTCGAGACGGTGTAATGTTCGAATATATGGTATAGCGGAGGAGAAAGGGGAGAATTGCTACGATGCTGTTGTTGATTTCTGCCGAAATTGTTTGAAGTGCGATGTAGCTGTAAGCGAAATTGATCGAACACATCGAGTTGGGAAGCAAAGGAATGATTCAACTCCACGTGCTATGATAGTTAAATTCTTGTCATATCAGTCAAAGCTGAAGGTCTTAAAACATCGGCGAAATTTGAAAGGAAGTAAGAAATTCATCAATGAAGACCTTACTTTAGTGAACAAGATCTTATTCGACTCGGCAAGAAGAGATCTAATCAACCTCTCTGTGTGGACGACGGACGGTAAAGTATTGGTTAAGATGGCTGACGAAAAGATTGTCCGAATCAAGTCTAAGGACGACATTTGTTTATTAAAATGATTATCCCGCCTTCATTCCAAACATGCTTCATTGACTATATATTTTTTTTACATGTTTAGTAAATCCTTTGATCTTTACGCTGTGTTATTTTTTCATAATTTAATTTTCTTTGTGTGTAATCTTGTGCAGCCCGAGGTAAGTGTTGTCTATTTTGTATTGTGCGAATTTGATGGGGGTTAGTTTGGAAATTTACAGAGCAAATATCGGGAAATTTACTTGTTATAAAGTCAGTTTGTGTAAATCATATTTTCATGCCAAAATAGCAAGCGGACGTTTGGGATGTTTTATGGCATTTTTTATATTTAAAATGTCATTAATTTTACTGTCCGGAGATGTTGAGGTTAATCCTGGTCCATCTAGAAACCTAACTTTAAACGTTGGTCATATTAATGCTAGAAGTTTGAATGTTGAAGAAAAATTTGATGAGATTACTTCTCTTGTTGTTGAACAGCGGCTTGATATCTTTGCAGTGTCTGAAACTTGGCTAAATCAGGAAATTTCTAGTGATTTATTATGCATTCCTGGCTTTAGCCCTATGTTCAGACGGGATAGAAGTAATGATAGAAGTAATGATAGAAGGGCGGGGGGCATAGCTTTGTATATCTCATCCAATTTTGCATCTAAAAGACGTAATGATCTTGAACACAGTGATTTCGAATTACTTTTTGTTGATGTTAGAATTAATTCATTGTCCTTTGTTTGTGGGGTGTGTTATCGCCCACCTAATTATAATTCTGCTGCAAACAATGCTTTTTTAGATCATTTGCAATTCTGTTTGGATGAAATTTACCAAACACCTGGTACCTTTGTTTTGCTGCTTGGGGACTTTAATGCTAATTTTGTTATGGAAAATTCTCAGCCTAGTAATGATTTTGGATCATGTTTGTATAGACTGATGGAGTGTAATAGTCTTTTTCAAGTAATTAATGAACCGACGCGTATTACTGAACATAGTGCCACGTTATTGGATCTTATATTTACAAACTCGCCGGGTTATTTCGTAAATTCTGGAACTTTAAGCCCGCCGAGTAACTGTGACCACTGTCTGATATATGCTCGTATGAGCATTTCTTTGGCCAAACCTGAATGTTATACGCGACATGTTTGGAATTTTTCTAAGATAGATCGGAATAAATTGAATGCGGCCCTCACTAGTGCGAAATGGGATGAGGTATTTATGAATGTTGAGAATGTTGATGCTTTGTATACTAAGTGGTTTGAGTGTTTTAAGGAAATACTTGAGACGCATGTACCGAATTATACGATTGTAGTTCGCCCAAACGATAAACCTTGGATGAATTCCAAAATTAGGAATGCTATTCGTAAAAGGAATAGACTGCTTAAATTCTATTGTAGAAGGAAAAACTCGATAACTTGGGAAAGGTATAGATTGCAAAGAAATTTAACAACGACACTTATACGTTCATGTAAAGCAAAATACTTCGAAAAGTTAAATACGAAATTACAGGACCCCAAATTAGGAACAAAGAAGTGGTGGGGCATAGTCAAATCGTTATACGGAAGTAAAATACATTCATCAATACCGCCACTATCTGATGGTGATCGCATAATAACTGATGCAAAAGAAAAAGCCACAATTTTTAACCAGTACTTTATTACTCAGTGTAAAGTGGATAACAATGATGCGCCGATACCTAATATAATTGATTTTCAAAATTCCAGGTTTATTTCACATTTATCCACAACTGAGTTTGAAGTTAGAAATTTATTAAGTATAATAGATGTTTCCAAGGCTTGTGGTGTCGATGGTATAGGTAACTTTTTAATTAAAACTTGTGCTCATGGTATTGCGAGTTCTTTTTCACGATTTATTAATATTTCTTTTTCCAAGGGAGTTTTTCCGTCTGCATGGAAGAAAGCAAATGTTATACCTATTTTCAAAAAGGATGATCGACAGTCTAAGGAAAACTATCGTCCTGTTTCATTATTGATATCTATTTCAAAAATTTGTGAAAAAATCGTATTTATTAGGCTTTACAACTTTTTATTGGAAATCCATTTCCTTAACCCCTTTCAATCAGGTTTCCGACCTGGAGACTCTACAGTAAATCAACTTGTTTTTATTGTTCATAAAATCTATGAAGCCTTAGAGCAAGGTAAGGAAGCTCGCATGGTGTTTTTGGATATTAGCAAGGCCTTTGACAAAGTCTGGCATAAAGGTTTGCTCCGTAAGCTCGATTCTCTGGGAGTAAGAGATCCCTTACTCAAATGGATAAGGAGTTACTTATCTGATAGGATGCAGCGTGTATTAATAGAGGGTCAGTCATCTGATTGGGACCGAGTTGAAGCTGGTGTTCCCCAGGGCTCTGTTCTGGGCCCTCTGCTTTTTTTAATTTACATAAATGATATCACTTGTGACCTTCAGAGCGATAGTTTTCTTTATGCTGATGACACTTCTCTGCTTGAAGTGGTTGATGATCCAACGTTTTCTGCTGTTAGTATTAATAATGATCTTGAGCGTATTAATGCATGGACACGTGATTGGCTTGTCACTATCAATCCAAGCAAAACCAAATCCATTATTTTTTCTGTAAAGCGTGTAAAGCCCAGTCATCCAGACTTATATTTCAATAATGAAATTATCGATAATGTTAGTAATCATAAGCACTTGGGTGTCACCATTTGTTCTGATCTTTCTTGGAGAATTCATATTTTTAATGTTTATGAGAAAGCTTCAAAAAAATTAAATCTCTTGAAAGGCTTAAAGTTTAAATTAGGTAGGGAGACGTTAATTCAATTATATAAATGTCTCATAAGATCTCAAATGGAGTACGCCGACGTCCTTTGGGATGGCTGCTCTGTTAGTGAGAGTGATCTTTTGGAACATCTACAATATCAATCAGCTAAGGTGGTCACAGGAGCTATGAAGGGTACAAGTAAATCGAGATTATTAGAAGAGCTAGCTTGGGAAGATTTAAAAACCAGACGATCTATGCACAAACTTGTTTTGTATTTCAAAATAGTAAATAATCTTACTCCAAGCTATTTGTCTAACTTAATTCCTCAAACAGTTCAGCAAAGGTCGGGTTTAGTTCTACGGCATGCATCAAATTTTACTTTATTTCCTGTTAGAACTGAAAGATTCAAAGCTTCTTTCTTTCCTTCAACAACTATGTTATGGAACAGTATGGACTATAATGAACGTAGTACTTTATCAATTAGCGTTTTTAAACAAAATCTTAATCGTTTTTTTGATATTTCATGTTATAATAAGTATCTTGATTATTCAATTGATAGATATTCCTCCATTTTACATTCTCGGCTTCGTCTCAATTGTTGTACTCTAAATTATTATTTGTTTAAAATAGATTGTATTGAAACTCCAGCATGTGTGTGTGGTGCAAATAATGAATCAATTATGCATTATTTGCTAAGGTGTCCCCGATATTCTGCTCTGAGGATTTCCTTACTCTCGGCTGCTGCACAAGTTTGTGGTGATAGCTGGAATCTTTTGTCGGATTCTCAAAAATTAAAGATGTTTTTGTTTGGCGATGTTAATCTAAATATAGATGATAACAAAAAAATTTTCAATTTTGTCCAACAATTCATTAAAGAATCTGAACGTTTTCGTTAAGCTCTATGAGGGAATCCTCCAAACGATCCAGTAATTTGTTTGTCCTTGTTTTATTTACTCTATTTTCTTTTTTCTTTTAAATATTATGTAAATAGTGACGTAAGCCCCTCGATGAGCTTGATAGCTCTTGGGTAAACGTCGTTTTGAAAAATATATGTTTATACATAATATCAACGACTTTTTGTTGTTATTGGCAATACGTACCTACACTGGTAACGAACGTTCAACATATTTGTTTGACTTGACAGCCATAGACGTACCAGAGGTGAGGACTGGGGCTGGGGATTAAAAATCGAGTAATTCTGCCTAAAAGTCTAGCAATTCCACATGGAAATCAGCCAAATGATAAAGGTAAGCGTTACGATATTAAAAACGTCAAAACACGAAGAATTTTGTAACATTCCATCCTCTCCGCTCCCCCTCCCGTATACCCTCCCTCTTCAACAGAAATTGTGGAAAGATTATGACGTAAAATGTTTCAATTTGTCGTCCGCACCCCGTCTCCACCCCCCAATGTTTTCCCTCTTGTACGCCTATGCTGACAACCTAATCAAAAAGGTAAACTTGTTCAAAAATACTATGTTCATTGATCCCTGCAATGTACGTGGGATTGTGATTATAAATTAATGCAGCTCTTTCTTCCTTTCTAGACGCAAATTTATGCTTGCTAAACCTCGCTTCATTGACAAAGAAATTTGAAATGTATTGACTTAGCTCAGTTGATGCTGAAAAATGTGGAATGACTTTCTCGGGATTCCATTCAAATGGAGGTTTCTCTGGATGCCACTGCATTGAATAAAATGGATATTTCTTTGCTTCCATCGTCGAAACAAATTCCACACCGTTCCGATCAACATTTGTCGTGATAACTTTGTAAAACTGGTCCAACGTTTTGTTCTCTCGGAATAATTCCAAAGGCAGTCCTAATTCATGAGCATGTGTGGTGATTAATGTTTTGTTAAATGTTTTCATCAAATCTTTTGAAAGGCTTCGAAATAATTTACTGTCACGGTAATTTTTCGGAAGGTTTAGAGGTGCGATCATATTAAGTGAATCTGTGCGAATGCGTATGTCTGTGGGACCATTTACCAATGTGGCAAGGATCTGGTGACCAAGACACATACCGATTATTGGAAAATATCCTCCTTCGTCAAATGTCTTTTTCGCTAGTTTTAATATAGTCCTCGAAATGTTAGCATAACCTGAGGTTGACACATTTACTATTCCTCCGGGGAAAACAGCACCATTGATAGATTCAAATAATTTCTTAGTTTCTACTTCGGTTAGATTATTGAAGATGGGAACCGCACGCGCCCCTGATGATTCCAGGAATTTCACGTAACATGCAGGGATGTAATTTTTGCCAAGATATTCAAACGACATATTGTAAGTTGATTGTGCCACGATGCCTATAATTGGTCTGTTGGTTTGAATTTCACGCCGTGAGCTTTTGATAAAGTCGAATCCATGAAAGAGAAAGATGCATACAAATGGTGCAATAAATCTGGACACTTTCCCCACCATCTCGATCGATAGTTTTCCCACAATAACTTCAAAAGATCCCAAACTTTATGATTGTACTAAACTTATTAATTTCGCAATTCATTTGAATGTGAATGATGAAATGTATAAACAGATTTACAGGTGATATACAAGTGGCCCATTCAGCTTCTGTCAGTTTTCCTGTCATGTGTGAAAACATGTCAAAACGCTTTTCTGTAGTTAATTAAGTAGACTTCAAACATCATTAATAATTCTGATAAGCTTATTGGCAAATCATGTCAACCATAATATGTCACGTGCAGTGGCTTTAAACCTGATAAAACACTGCTAAATAGTATTCTTTACATAAAGAATACTAATAAGGCAGTATATCTATTGAGTTTGTAGTCGTATTTGAAGCCGTTCAATAAACTCGCAGGTCGTGTTTTATTAGGTTTAAAGTAGACTTCAAACATCATTAATAATTCTGATAAGCCTATTGGCAAATCATGTCAACCATAATATGTCACGTGCAGTGGCTTTAAACCTGATAAAACACTGCTAAATAGTATTCTTTATATAAAGAATACTAATAAGGCAGTATATCTATTGAGTTTGTAGTCGTATTTGAAGCCGTTCAATAAACTCGCAGGTCGTGTTTTATTAGGTTTAAAGCCACTCGCGCTGCGCGCTCGTGGCTTTAAACCTAATAAAACACTCCTCCTCGTTTATTAAACAGTACTAAATCATATTTAGTATAAGGCAGTAAAAGTTTATATACTCATTTTATTGCTTGGCTGGCAGAGCCGGAGCTATAAAAAAGGGCCTTTCTGTACTTCTCGTTTTAAGAAACTATGCATAAAACTGATATATTTTCAGGTATAGGTCGCGTAATTTTGATAACGGGTATGATATCCCATTTCGATGCTGGTAAATTAGTTCAAATTTCATTTAAAATTTTAACATTTCGTCATCAATCTGTCAGAATAGGACAACGTCTATCTGAATCTCAGCGTGTTACTCATGGTGTACCACAAGGTTGAATTTTGATGCCACTTCTTTTCAATTTATATGTTAATAAGATTAATTAAATTAGATTATCAATGGCTGTACACCATTGTACTTAAATTTGTAAAAGTTGACCTGCACGGAAGCATGCAGATAAGCGAACGTAAAGCCTCATTAATATCATTATCGTGACTCAACCTACGCAAAATTGGTGATTCTTATTGGATGCTGATCCTCTTGCCGTGTTGCCCATATGATAATTATTTGTCTCCATGATTGTCTTTAATTTCTATAGCTATTGTAAAATATAGCGCACAGAATTGTTTGAATGCAGTTGTATAAGCACTGAATTATTTGCATACAGTTTTAAAATGTCATGTAAAGTAAAGCAAGGCGAAATGGATGACATTGGTCATTTGAATTTCACATGTGAATCTTACTATGCTTAACATAAATGCAATTTGTAACGTGCTTTTATTTGTTTATATATAAATTATTATTGAATTATAAATGCTGCTTTCAAAGAGTCAGTGGAAGAGAGCAATGTTGAAGCCCAATTGAACGCCCTCCTGAACACATTAGGGCATCTTTTCCAATCACTTTATATCTGCCAATTGCTTTGACAGCAACCTGCACCCACAGTTCCTTACGACGATGGCGACCCTATAATAATATCACGTGTTTCTTCGTACACGGCGAGGTGGCATTTTTACGTCCTATCTCTTTTAGCTTTCATGCATCTACATGTAGTTAATTTACTTGTTTAGAAATTATTGTCGATCATTTGAATATGTTCGTCTTTGCAAATCCCACATTTAATGGAGTATGCTTTGTTTCTGCATAAATGTTAGCAGCTATTTCCATGATTTAGGAATTTTTGATCATTCAATTTAATGCTTTGATCGTTCCCTATGATTTACTTCTTTAACTATATGACATATGTGAATATGTGCAGGGTTTTGGTGGTCTTTTGCTTCTAAAGGCGGATTTCCAGTCCTCGCACGAAGTTCCTCGCTGCGAGCATGGATAATAAAATAAAATTTATTTTATTATCCATGCTGCGCGTGGTGCATGAGCACTTTCATCCAATCACAATGTAGCCTGCGTGGCAGGCCCTCAAATTTATGGGGGCCTGATTTGCAGCGGGCAGGATTTTGGCGGGCTCCGGGGGAGGATTAAGGGCCTGCATAACCTGAAGTTCAGGCCCTAATCACAGAATATGGCCTGACACAAAACCTATCTAAGCCGTGGGATTCCCGTTGTATTATCCCAGTTGATCATAAGTAACAAGTTGTTTTGCAGATCCAGCACGCACTGTCGCCACAAGGCAGTTTACTCTTTACCATGGGAACTACATGTGTGGTCGATATGGCGTGTTCGACAAAGTCGATCGGTCAAAATAACTCATAGTGGTTGCAGGTCAAATCCTTATCGAGTGTCAACTACAAAACTCGAGGCATGCAAGAGTAACCAACAACCTGTTATCGCATCATAAAGAAGGAGATCACTATAATTATATGTGTGCAAATAGTCTGCCTACTATAAGTCGCTTTGAGTCATTTTAAATTGCTTTAGTTAACATGCACAACTGAACGAAAACGAACGTATAGCCTCATTAAACGAACGATCTATTCGTCGAAATGAATAGAAACTGGCCTGCTCATTGCCATTGGTAGAGACAGCACATCATGAACTATCGTTTGATATTGAACGAATATTATAATCACATACCGTTCCACCTAACAAACGAGCTAATTCTCATTGGCTGAGACAGCTGACAGCACATCATGAATTTGCGACTGGTGTTACACAGCGGACGGACTTATACTCGCAAGGACAATACAATTATAAGTTGTTCGACCCATGTTAAACTACAAAACAAATATTTACATTAACAGGCAGGCATTGCTGTAATTCGTTGAAAAAGTCCGGACCATTAAACTTACAAAGTTAGGAATCAAAACTCTCTCAATACGTGGAGGTGGGATGTTTGCTTGGGCTACAGGTATTGCAAGGAATAATAATTTATAGAAACGCTGAAATAACAGATTAGCGGTTAACAATTAATGCATGGTTTACTTCGTTATTTGAGCTGACATACCTTTCTTCCTCTAACCGCAATTCGTCAATATTCCCACTCACGGTGACACAAATGAACGGAGAATAAAAGATTAAGTGCAACTGATAAAAATTGCGGAGCGGTTGCAGTCTCATGTAACTCGTCCATCGTGACTACGGTTGAAAGGCATAAAGGATAAAGTATACTTGCATTTAATATTTCCTTAAAGACAAGGATGAAAAGTGCAATTTGCATCGCTATTCACTATTTATGCAGAGAATGTCAAAATGTATGTGTATGCCTAAAACTAAATAACACATCCCAAAGACTATATAAAACTTCGGTATAGTTTTTATTCAATTTACAGCCCGGTATTTGCTAAACAATATTCAATAACTATGTTTTGATATGTGCATGTAATCTTGACATATAAAATAAGCTATCCTTATTAACATAACTGAATATTCGTTCGTTTTCGTTGAGTTGTGCATGTTAACTATGCGTACGAGATTAATTATGCAATCCAATCAGATTTCAGCTTTTGACCAAAACACATTTGCATACCTGCATTTCGTTCGTTCTCGTGCTACGGTGCAGGTTAACTATTTTGACATACCCAAATGTATAACGTACGAGCACAGCACAGCACAACGACCATTTAGATACAGAGCTACATAGTTCGGTAGCGTGGTGTTCCACAACTTGATTTTTGGACAGTGTCACGTTAAACTCCTGCTCTGAAAAGCCCTGAATAAATTTGTGTTGTGTCGTGTCGTGTTGCGTTGTTGTATTGTGTTGTGTTGTGTTGTGTTGTGTTGTGTTGTGTTGTGTTGTGTTGTGTTGTGCTGAGACAAATTCCACACCGTTCGATCAACATTTGTCGTAATAACTTTGTAAAACTGGTTCAACTTTTTGTTCTCTCCGAATAATTTCAAAGGCAGTCCAAATTTCATGTGCATGTGTGGTGATTAATGTTTTGTTGAATGTTTTCATCAAACCATAAATCTGGAAATAATTTAAGGGGCGCAATAGCTTAAAGAAGGAGTGCCAAAACTGCATGGGATGAAGCAAAACTGTTGATGTAAGAATTTGATTAACGCACTGAGAGAGTTGTTTCCCTCGCGCGCAGAAGCTCTTATAGCTCTAACAACTCTAACTCTAAAGAGCGACTACTACCAGGTTATATTACTACCAGGTTATATTACTACCAGGTTATATTACTACCAGGTTATATTACTACCAAGTTTCGCCTGCCGAATATCGGATACATTAAAATGGTTTCAGGTACTCGGTGCTCTTTCGAGCGAGCTTTCGAGATTTAAAGGTAAAAAAATGGGTAAAACTATAAATTTCCTAGTGAGCGTTACTAGTGGGCTATTTCACGCTGATAAAATATCTCAGGGGCGGAGCTAGCCCTATTTGAATGGGGTGGTTTAATAAGTGAAATTTTTGCCGAGTAAATGAAGTGAGTTTATTTGGAAAGTCAAATCGCGATCTGGAGTATGTTATTTTTTAAAATTTATGTGACGTCAAAAAACGTCATAAATCTGATCATCCGTGTGTACATCCGTCCGTACATGCAAAATCGAGTTGTCGTTCGGCTATACATAACTCGGCCAAAGAGACTGGACACACGTAAACGTAATACTTCATGTTAAGAATAGTGTACTGCCTTTGGTAGCAAATAGATAAGATTTTGCCGTTGTCTGTTCAGTTATAGATGCACAGTATGACGTCATGATGTAGGAAGAACAAAAAATTGGCTTTCGAGTCGAGTGGTTCACGTCACTTTTTCGTTCTTCACACATTATGATGTCATACTATGTCAATTACAGTCACTATCTTGATCATTGTTCAATTTGTCAGGAGACAAACGGTGCCTCCAAAGAAAATACATGTGCGGACTACATGAAACTTTAGGCTATGTTTACATTGTATCGGATCGGCTTTGCGTCCGACGCAAAAACCATACTGGATAGGGCTTCTGTTTACATATGAAATGTTGTTATCGTCTCAATTTCTGCAACGAACCGGTGGTGCGGCGGTTCGCTCTTCGAAGTGGTGCGCGGTGTATCGGATCGGTTTTTGCAACGCTCTCATTGTAATGTAAACACCAATCGGAGCAATTTCGGTTCAATGCGTGACTCAAGATGGAATCTGGCAAACAACAACTTACTATTCTAATAATATATAGAAGAAAATACGACGGCATAGATGGGCGGGGGCGGAAGCTGTTTACACTTGGGCCGTAACTTTTAGCGAACGAAACAAAAACTGATCCGATACAATGTAAACATAGCCTTAGACTGCAGAAAATTACACAAGCAGTTATCACACTCATGTCACAGAAGTGGTGACTCAAGTGGTAAAGGATATGTATTATATGTATGGTATTCAATTGAATGGTATTCTTTTGGCCAGGGTTGGGTATTTATTTTTTAATTGGTATTTGAGGTTGGGCGATTTTTTTACAAATTTTTAATGTTTGGATCAGCACAATTTTTACCAAGAAAAACATTTCTCTTCGATGCCACTCGATCCCCGCCATAAATAATGAGCGGTTCCTTATTTACGAGAATTGGCAGCCGATTTTTTATATACATGTTATGATTGTTAATTTGTTATATGATAGTGCTATTAATTTTTTGCTTGCAGGTTATAGTTGTTTTGTTCGATATGATAAAATGATCTATGATCGTAGTCTAATATAGCGAAGTCAGCGCAGTTTTATGAATAAACTTTTTTCATAATGACATCAAACGCGGATTTTGGGCAGAGACGGATTTTCATATTTTCGTTCGGGGGGTGGATAAATATCTGGGGAGGGGGTTCTGCTGCTTGCTTTGGCCGGGGCGTGGTGGCAACGCCCGGAAAGGCCAAGGAAAAAGTTTAACGAAATTTGTTTTCTAGGCCTGCATGAGTGCATGGCGAGATCTGAGACCATAATATTGGTAATTTTACAAATTTAGTAGTAAGAATAATCAAATATGAAACTATCAAATCAAAATATATATAATTTGCGGGGGTACAAAAACTTTTGGGGGCGGTGTCAAATGCCTCTGGGGGGGGGGG